TTGTCTTTCTTTCTTATATACAAATCACATGAAGAAATGAACCAGATATCTATCTAGCTGTGCAGATCACGTAAGCAAACAAATTGCTCTGCAGAGCAGTTCCATATTTTAGTACCACTCCATTGAAGGTGAGCCTGTAACACTATATTTACAGCCACCCTGCTAAAGCTAAAGGGCAGAAGAGTCATGAGATAAATTTATAGCAACGATGTTCTGCCAGCACTAAGTCCTCACATAGAAAATAAGCAGATATTAAAAAAAAAAAAACCTCTAAACTAAAAACCTAGCGTAACACCATAACACAATGGAAAGGTCAGCAATGACAGCAGAGCAACAAAGCTCCAGGTTACAGCAAATAAGAACTTGCTCAAAGGCTACAGCCACATGCACAAAAACATAGAAAAGAAGCTTACCCTCAGAAGGCCTCAACTATACAGGAAACTCCAAAGAAATGCTCTTGCTTTCACTGCCAATCCTTAAATGAGGGCTGGGAAGGGGAGGATCCTGGCTCCACCCCTATCATCACTCAGGTTCATCGCATGCACCTGAGCTCCCCTGGACTGGCCCAGCCTTCCCACCAGGTGCTCCATCACTGCTTCAGCCTGTGACAGCATTTTCACTACACCCAGCAAACTAGTTTTCATTTTTTAAGACACTAACCCAACTGATTGAAAAATTCAAATGCTGATGGGTTTGTCAGTAGCACAAATTCCTGTAACTAAGTTACAGGAATATAAATTTCTAAGGCAGGATAACTGCTTGCCTGTCCTTTCAGAATACCCAAGTATTTATCAAAGGAAGATGTGTTACTAACCCACCTGCGCATATAGCAGCAATCAGGCCTTTTCTGCTTTCCTGATCTTTCAAGATGTCTTTAACAGCAGCAGACTGAACAAAGATTAAAAAAAAAAAAAAAATCATTGCTTTGAGTTGATTATTTGGGTTGATCATACAAAGCACAGTTGAACCATTTTCTACTGCATATTCATGAACAAGATTTACAAAGAAAAACAGCCTGACAACATTCCATCCTGTCTCAGGACAGGGAGAGCAACATGGATTTAACCTGCTCCAATGTTCATGAAATTAAATCTTCATTTACAACCATTTCATCTTCATATGATGATGAAGAAAGACTTTCACACAATATTGAGCAGCCTTCCATTTTTACACAGCTTAACCAGGTAGTCAGGTACAAGAATTTACATCCCTCCTCTACATTTCCAAGAAAGCTTAATACTATTAACAATTACTTTCCTCTTAATGATTCACTCAGAATACAATTTTCAGTTGTTTAACTGAACTGGCATTATTACTGTGAGAGTGCAGACCATCTACTACACACGAGAATGCTTCTGAATCTTTATGATACCAGGACTTTACCTCTGACAAGTTCTGAGCTCCAAGGTTACCTCCAGGCAGGACAATGACATCGTAAGGTCCCTAAACAAACAGATAAAGCTTTGTTGAACAGAGGGTAGCTTATCTGTCACATTGTTCTAGGGAAAGTACAGATAAGTGAATTGAGAAGCAAAGGGATCCTTCTCTGAGAAGCCTTTTCTTCCTCTGCATGACACTTGAAAAGCAAATAATTGGAAATAATTATGTAAAAAATATTTCCAGGAACAGCCTATAAAGTCTGGTTCAGAACAAACTTCTAAGTCCAGTGAATTTAAGAGCTTCCACAAGCAAATGGTAGCTCTTGCATTGTGAAGACAAGTGTTTTTGCTGTACCTATTACAGCTTTCCATCTGAAGCTTTTTTTGCTGTACCCTATCACAGTATTTTGGTGGGCTGATCAACATGTGAAATAAAGCTCCATGTCTGACATTGTGCAAAAACAAACCTGATCTTGGCCTGCTGTGAAGTAGGACAAGACCAAAGGGACTGATGTGCAGTTCTGCGAGTCACTATGGCACATAACAGAGCGAACATAACATGTAACACATTTCTAAAGGCTTTAAGAATTCAGTTTTGAAAATCACAGGAAGGCCATACTGATCATTATATCAATTCAAGATGATGACAAACCTCTTTTCTGGCATCTTCTAGACTGGCATCAGGACAAATGAGGACATCTCGACTACACTGCACCGGTTCTTTCCCAGTTAGGCCTGCAACAGTCACCTTGATCTAACAGAAGAATACATCTATCATTACAGTTCAAGAGTTAAAGACATTTGACAAGCTTGTACTTCCTATAGCACCAAAAAAGGAGGATATTAACAAAATCACAAGAGCACTGGGGAAAGGTATTTTTTATTTTAGTCATTTCTCTCAGTGTTCAGTTATTGTATTTATTTAAAATTTTATGTTCATACTTAATCAGACAGCAATACTGTGTACAACTACCAATGCAAAAGTAATAAAGAGCACAAGAAATCCCACCAGGCAGAGGTCAAGTTACTAACAGAATTTTAAAAGCTCTAGGAGAGCTATGTAACATCATAAGCTTGAAGAGAACAAAGCAGATCAGAACCCTACACAACAAATAAAACCCCCTGCCGCTCAGCAGGGCAGCAGACATGTTTGGTAGGGTAAGACTTACTTGAAACATCTGCTCTAGTTTACTTTAGGCTCACATTTTAAATGCTTCCTAAGGACAAATGTCATTTGTCCTTATTTGGTGCGTAACACAAGTACTGGCTAACCATTAAGAAGGTTCAGATGAACGTCAACATCATGCATCTGTACACTCTGAACTTGAATCTGAGGCCCAGATTTTGATGTTACCAAGCAATCATGAAAAAACCAGACTCTTCATTGTCTACATACTCACACCAGCTCTTCTCATAACATCGGTGGGGATGACAGTTTCCATTTCCTCTGCTCCTTTTGCCAGAATCACCAACGCTCTTTTTGAAGCCATGTCTGAGGGGACCACAACTGCAAGAGAAGTTTGTGAGCGGGGTGACATTAGAAGGCAGATCCCCTTGTATTAAGTCTTCCTAATAGTAAAGTTTAAACGTAATTTGCACTTCTGCATTATCTTTCAATTAAGCCATCTCAAAAATAGTTCACTAACTTAAGTGACATTCACAGCAATCCTACTTAAGAGTTTTTTTTACAAAGCATACGCCGTGACATGACTAACACATCTGTGCACATCAGCAGCAGAACATGAGACACTTTGGCCTCATCACGACTTGGCATGACTTCAGTCTGCCAGACAAGGGCTCAGGGTGGGTGGCTGGGCTGTTTGCAGTTTGCCCTCACTCATACCCAGACTACCAACTCCTACCCAGGTCAGCATTTATAAAAAAAAAAATAAAGCTTCTGTGAGCTCTGACCTCACATCTGGTATTTAGTTTCCACACGGCGCACTTCGTTAAGTTTCCTGTGACTTAATAATGACTCGACTGGTGCCCCTGCAAACCCTCAGCCATAGATGTTCTGAGTATTTCATAACTGAGTGGTGGAGAAACGCGTGCACACGTGTGACGGGGGAGCAGACCACAGAATTTCGAAAATGGAACAAACTGAGCAAACTCGGCTTAAGAATTACTTTTTTAGCTACAAAGTTCACACTGAGGTGAACGACCAAATTTCCATTTAAAGGTTAAGTAACAACATCACGTAAAAATCCACACTAGCTTATGCTGGTCTGACAGAAGTATTCAAATGCGTCCACGATGTGAGATGAGGCATTTTGCATGTCTTGCTCTATGAGACGGATCTCTTCCTCCACAGAGAACTCCCATGCACAGATAGAGAGCACCCAGGAGCTCCTCATAAAACAAAATCCACGCCCAGTTGTCTCCTCCAAAGAAAACCATCCCCTCCCTCTGCCTCAGCTGCTGTGTTTCCAGTTGGCACCTTTTGAAAGCCGTTATTTCCAGGCTGCATCCAGCAGGACGCCCTGCGGCGTGCAGACCTGACCGGCTCGGGGCGCAGCGGGAGCCGCACGGCCGTCCCGTCAGGTGTGAGCCGTGTGCGCAGCACAGCCTGCCGGCGATCCAGAACAGCTTTTCTGGAAGGCGCACGTTCATTCTGCCCGCATTTTCTTACGGATCAGAACAGCCACAGCGCAGCTTCTCCACTCGTCCCGCGGCACGCGGCGCTCCCACAGGGCTGGCACGGCGCAGGGCCGGCGGCTCAGCCCGCCTCGATGAAAGGTCACGTCTTTATGCGCTTATTTTAGGACACGGCACCGTTTCGTTGGAATCGGGCGATCTTTAAGGCCCGTTCCAACCGCGACCATTCTACGGACAGACGCGGCGAACCAGCGGACAAACCAAACGGGCCGCAGCGCGGACAGAACGCAGCAGCGCGGCGGCAAACCGAGAGCGGGCAGCGATGGGCCGGGCCTTCCCGCCGGGCTGGCGGCCGAGCGGGGCCGAATGAGCGGCCTCCGGGCCCCCCGGCACTACCGGGGCCGGGACTCCCCCGGCGGCGTCTCGCGGCCCTGCGCGGCCCCACACGCGGCCCCCGCCTCACCTCGCACCGCCTCGCCTCACCTCGCACCGCCGCAGCTCCGCGCAGCCCCGCCCGCGTGACCCGGGCTGGGCGGGTCCGTCAGGAGGCCGTGCCGCGGGGCGGGCCGCGAGCTGCCGGCGTTCACCCGCCGGGCCGATACCCGCCCATTCGTTACTTAAATCTTTCACGCGCTATGGGGAAATGCTCCCATTCCTCTGTGGCACCACGGCCAAACGGCGCTGCGCTTCATGACGGGCGGCCTCGGCGCCATCGGTGCCGCTCCGTCCCCGCCGCTGAGGCGCGAGCCGCCCGCCCCGCGCCCACCCCTCAGCCCACGGCCGCACGCACCGCTCGCGCCCTCGCCGACGGACGGCACGTGACGCTGACGCAGCCGGGGATTGGCTGCGGGAAACCGCAGGGGGCGGGGCGCCGCCTCCGCTTAGCGTCCAGATGGCTCCGACAGGTCACGTGTCTGTAGCGACGCGTCGCGCCCGTCGCGGCGCCGCGCTTCGTCCCGCGCTGCCGCCCACAGCGCCGTTTGTTTCCACGCACCGCGGGGGGGGGGCGGGGCGGCTCAGCGATGTCTCCCCTCCGCCCTCGGCGGCCGCTCGCAGCCGGTCATCCCGCACCGCACGGGACGGCACCGAGCCGGACTCCCGCACCCACCGCGGGGATTCCTCGGCGCTCAGCGGGAAGCCCCGGCGGGGAGCGGCGGGCTCTGCTCGGCAGCGCTGAGGTGTCGGTCCGCGCGGGCGCTGCCCGGCAGGACGGGGGTCTCGCCGCAGCCCGGAAAGCCCCGCCGGGCCGGGGTTTCCCCGCCGCCCCCGGGTGACGCAGCCGTGCCGCTGGGGGCGGCTCTAAGGGCCGCTGCCCGCCGCCACGCGCGCACTCGAGAGCGCTGCGCCGCCGCGCACCGACCCCATGGGAGCGGCCGCCCCGCTGCTGCGCGCCGCGCTGCTGTTGGCGCTGAGCCCGGCGCACGCGGCCGCCGCTCCGTGCGCCGCCATCTGCCCCGCGGGTGAGCGCCGGGCCGGGCCGCGCTGCGGGCGTCGGCGGCGCTTCTCTACGGCCTCCGTGTCTCTCCTGCAGGTACCTTCGTGGCCGGCGCGGGTTGCGGGTGGGGAGCGAACTGCCAGCAGTGCCCGTCCGACACCTTCTCCAGCGTGGTGGGAGCCAGCAGCTGCAACCTGTGCCGCAAGTGCGAAGGTACCGGGGATTGAGAGCTGCGGTTCGGCTCGTTGTTACCGCTCGTAAGAGGGGCGCTGCTGGACGGTGGGTGGGCTGAGCCGGCGGTGCCGTGTGCTGCACTCGCAGCAGCGCGTCCAGCGGAGCGGAGGAGGGATCCGCAGCTCTGCTCTGCGCTACGGAGCCTCGCCTGCAGCGCTGTGCCAGATGAGCGGCTCGCGGTACGGGACAGACGCAGACCCGCAGGAGGGCGTCCACAGCAGGGCCACAGAAATGCTCCGAGGAATGGAACAGCTCCCTGCGTGAACAGACTGAGAGCTCGGCTGTGCAGCTGGAGAAGGCTGCAGGGAGAGCTGAGAGCAGCCCGTCTGTATCTAAAGGGGCTGTAGGAGAGAAGGGAACAGTGCTTTTACCAGGGTCTGCTGTGACAGGGTGAAGGGAGATTGGATGTAAGGAAGAAGTTTTTTAAAGTAAGGGTGGTGAAGCACAGGCCGGGCGCAGGTGGTGGTGCTCCATCCCTGGAGACAGCCAAGGCCAGGCTGGAGGAGCTCAACCCCTGGCGGAGCTGTGGGTATCTCTGTGCACTGCAGTGGGTTGGACCGGGTGACCTCTAAAGGTCCCTTCTAACTCGAACTTCTAGGACCTCTCACTGAACTGAGCAGCTTAATTTCTGTAAGAGCAAAGGACCTGGACCTTTGCTGCGCCACGTTTTGTGTGCTTGAGGCATGTGTAACATCACGCTTGTTTCCTCCTTCCAGGAAGATTCAAATACTTAAAGGTGTGTTCACCAATAAGTGACGCTGAGTGCACGTGCAAGGAGGGATATCGCTGCAGTGACGATGGCTGCTCCCGCTGTGACAGAAGCTGTGGGCTGGGCAAGGAGAGAACTAGGAGCGGTACGATCTCCCTTCACCACCTCTTGTGCAGCGCAGAAAGAATTGCAGGAAGGACCTCCTGAGCTCCTGAAACTGTGCTTCAGTTGGTTCCTTTTGCATGACAGCTCTTTTGTCAACACTGTGTAGGAAACTGTACCCAAGTATCGTGCTGGTACAAAGCTCACGTAGCTCACAGGGATGGGCACAGAGAAACATGTGCCTTGTACTCCAGTATTTGATGGAACTTATGAGCAGGAGGGAGACCGACATTTTGTGTGGTCCAACAATGAGAGGACTGGGGGGAACAATTCTAAACTAAAAGAGAGGAGATTTAGATTAGATATTAGGAGGAAATTCTTTACTCAGAGGTTGGTGAGACCCTGGCACTGCTACCCAGAGAAGTGTGGGTGCCCCATCCCTGGAGGTGCCCAGTAAGAGGTGGGACGGGGCCCTGGGCAGCCTGAGCTGGTGAGGGGCAGCCAGCCTCCAGCTGGGGATGGAAGGGCTGTAAGGAACCTTTCAACTCAACCATACTGTGATTCTATGATTGTGTACTCACAACAACTTATAACAATTCTATGAACGTAGATAATATCGTACAAACAGTTATTCATAACATTTCATGTGTTCTTTTAAATACTCACCTTGTACTATCGTACCTCTCCTTGTCCGTTGCAGGTTGCCAGGCTTGCCCTTATGGAACTTTTAATGATCAACCTGATGGCTCCTGTAAAAACTGGACAATGTAAGTGACAAAACTAAATGCATTAACTTGACTGGATTTTTTTCTATTACTTTTCTTTTTCTTTCTTTAAATGTCTTTCAGATGTTCTGAAAACCAGGTTCTGCAGCCTGGAACTGCAACAAAAGATGCAGTTTGCAAACACAGTTCAGATAATCCCACTTCAGCCACCACTTTACCTACCACTTCTCCTGCAGTTCCATTTCCTATCGCTGTGCCAGGTGAGTCATTGTACAATGTTGCTTTTAGAGCTGAAGAATCAGGACTAACTTTGAAACGTGCTATTGCTCATTCACTTACCACTTGAAGTAGGATTCCTTTCTCATACCCATTTCCAGTACTGTAGACTAATCTAGAAGCAGACCTATTGAGATGGGGACAAGAAAGCTGGCTAATTTACTTGCACTAGAATTTTGTTCTGTGGCCCTTCTTGAAGAATGTTGTTTGCTTCTTCCTAGGGAAAGACCTCCAGATGGACATTATCAGAATTTCTCTCGCTGTAGCAGGGCTGTTGTGCATAGCATTTCTCCTGCCTTTGTGTGTATGCCTCAGCGTCTGGCAGAAAAAGAAGCTACATGCTGTCTTCAAGAAAAGTAAGATAGATACACTCCGATTCCCTTTTTGTTTTTCAATCTAGACAGAAATCAGGAATTCATTTTTAAGTATCTTTTTAAAGCATCTTTAAAAAAACAGTTATAGATGATCATGATTTTTTTTAAATTTCCTCCTGAAGTCAGAAATAGTCATCTGGTTCAACCAACCCATCTCAGGCAGGGGAACACCCAGAGCAAGCAGGGAGATTCTACAACCTCTCTGGGCAACCTGTGGCAGTGCTCCATCATCCTCACAGTGAAGAAATACTTCCTGATGTATAGACAGAGCCTTCTGTGTTCCAATTAATGCCCATTGCCTCTTCTTCTGGCACTGGGCACCACTGAAAAGAACACGCCTCTGTCGTCCTTGCAGCCAAAGCTGGACTCACGACTGCACTGTAGCAACAATCAGGACTTGCTGCTGCAGAGTTGCAGAGCCAGCTTGAAACCAGCACTGCCCTCCCGGGAGGCACCAAAGTTGTGCACAAAGCTGTGGTGAAGTGCATCTAACTTATTTTATCAGCTCTGGTATGGCTCTACCTGCAGACACTTTTGTGTTTATGGTGAACTCTGCAGTCCCCATATTACCTAACTTTTCCTATTATTTGAAGAACACAAATCTGTATTACCCTGGATAATGACTGTAATCACAGGTTAAGTTACAAGAAGAAAACATACTGTGTTTCCTGAGTTCCAAAGTAAGACTTTCTTCCCAGTCCTTTGCAGCCAACGTTGGTTAGTAAAGACAAAAGATTTAATAAACACATCTTAAATGAACAAAGGAAATTATAAAGGAGGCTCTGCTGCCTCCAGGAAATAGCACTCTGAAAGCTGCTGGTGAAGCTGACCATATGTATAAATTACTTATTGTTGTAATGTTACAGTTGAATGTTTGTGTCCTCTGTACAGCTCCAACGCGTGAAATGCTGAGCCTTCATTGCCTCCTCTCAGCTCACTTATAGTATTTCTGTCACCATTTCTGACAAGTAACATGATTTCTGTACTTAGCACTTGAACGTACTTGGGTGTAGGTTCTTTATAAAATCACGATCAGATAAGTATGTTTTTCATCTTGAACTCAAAGAAATGCACCAGAAGTTTAGACATAGTGTGCTTAGCTATCTAAGCCAAGGGTTTAAGTAAGTATTAATTGGCTTTGGGTAACTTTTCTTTTACTTTTAATAAGCATTCCTCATCTTGGATAATGTTTTAATACAAACCCAGGATTCTACAAGGATGTAAAAGGATTGCAAGAGCTCTTAGATCTTTTCCCAGAGGGAGAGTATACAGTGTTCGCAATTGCTAAAAGTCTGTCTTTGATGAAGTTTGGCACAGTTCAGTGCTTTTTAGCCTCATAAGAAAACATTCTGTTCGGATGGCATTTAGACCTTCCTTGCAGACTAGAGCTGACCAATTAGAGCGATGAAAATATGAAAGCTCCGCAAACGATACTTCTTGATTTCACCACTTCCCAGCTTTTTGCTGTAACCCTTGTAACATTGGTTGGTATATACTGTGGCGAACACAGTACTAGCAGCCCCTGTTGGATTAGGGGGAACAAACTGTGAGGAATTTTCTCTTGGCAAACTATGATGCAGAGGAATAATTCCAAAGTAGATTATTGGATCAACTGGAAGATTTTTTTCTTGCTGCCTTCCTCCAGTTGTGAATGAGGAAGGTTGAAATAGGGTGGCTGAATAAAAGCAATAGGAAGTGAACATCTGCTCTCTTTCTTCAGTGCAGACTACTCCTGAACAGTCAATCCAGGAAGAGACCTGCAGCTGCCGCTTCCCTGAGGAGGAACAAGGCGAAGATCAAGATTGTGGCAAATCCACAGAATTCAGAGATCTTTTGGAGAATTAAGAATTGGACTGTCCAGGTCATCCGTATTTGTTTCCTCTTAGAACACAACGTTACAATTTGTGAATTTCAGAGTGCTAAGTAGTCCATCCTCTAAGGAGAAAGCACATCTTTTCTAGTTTGACTGTTACCTAGGACTGGGAATCATATTTCTAAGCAGTACTAGTACTGCTGTGCTTAAAACCAATAGAAGGGCAGTATGGCATTCTAGCTGCCTGAGCCATAACTTATATGAAGCCTGAAAGCATTTGTCCCTTTAATGGAGATCTGTAGCATGTAGAAGAGCTGCGTGTGCCACTCATGGTCTCTGCATTACTGTTACGAGCTGTAGCTCTTCTCAAAGCGTAGCTCAAACCCAGCAGTGTTGGGTTTCTTCTGCAAATACAGATCTCATCTCACACTTTCAGTTGCCAGCAGCCATGGAAACATATCTAGCCTGACCACCACCCCAGCCTCTTATGTCAGAGACAGGAAAATGTAAAAAAAAAAATCTAGAGTTGCAAAGTTTTTTTTTTTTTTTATAGCAGTTTGTATCTGCTGGTGTAGTGCAGAGATTGCCTTAATAGAGGCAGTGGAAACACTGAGAAAAGCTGTGGTTGACTTGCTCTTAGGAAGGGATGTTACTGCGCACTTAGACTGCAACACCTCAGTCCTACATCATTCAGCTTTCATCTTTTTGGTGATGTAAATGTGTTGCAGATGTGGTATATGTAGAATGTGATACATTTCTGGTACTATTTCTGTTCCTCTGAGGGTGGAAAGATTTTAACCTCAGACAGTATATCTGTCTTTTTGATCGAGTGCTGTTACTTTGGTCTGAAAGAGAAAAGAAAATGTTGGCAGTGACAACATTTTTAATCTTTTTCAGAACCAGATATTTTATTTCTTCAGTAAATGTTATTCAAAAATATAATTTAAACCTATCAACTCAGCAGGTAAAGGGTGATTTTCTTCTTTATGTCATTTCAACTTTGAAAGAAAGAATACAATTGTCTGAAGAATAACAGCCTGTGTGTCTATTAACACAAAAATCAAGACTTTTTTTACATAGTAATTTTAATAAACTTGCTGTTTTGTAACTTTTTTTGTAACTTCTTCTGTATATTAGACAGTAAGTACAGAAAACTGAATTCCAAAATTAAGTATATGTAAATAAATAATTTGTTTCAAATCCCTCGAGTCCAAGGTTCCTTTCCTTGAGTCTTTTTTTCTTACAAGTAAAGTCAAATTCACAAACTGAAGGAGAGGGGAAGGAATAGGAAAACTCACCAGTATTTATAAATGAAGAGTAATCTTTGCAGCAGTGAAGATATCTTAGAATAGGATAAATAGTTGTGCCTGTGATTAGTTTATAATTCACACATTAAGGATGAGAATGTACACACGTTGTAGCAAATCAACATACCTTATGTTTCCTCCTAGGAAAGAAAGACAGCAGTTAGACTTTTGTATTTTGCTACTGCATTTTGCGTGTCAATTTGCAAATTTCATTACATCCTTTAAAGGCAGTTTTCTTCTATTAAAGGTCTCAGTGAAGATAATTGTTTATTTAGTAATTAAGAATGACTAGTGAGAAGTGCCTTAGGCTGAACATGACAGTTGATTCTGATTAGAGAAGTCCACCTTTCTGGACCAATACATCAGGTCCATATCTGAAGTAGCATCATGGAGACATTTCAGCCTCTTCCATTGCAGGAATAAGTTTGAAAAATTCATGTTTTCTTCTCCTATACAAAAGAGTTCCAGAGCCAAATACCAACGCAATCAAGACAGTCATTGCTTACCCAACAGCCTTAATCTGAAACTTAATTCCCATTTATTCACATCCTATAACTTATAAGTCTCCTGACTTGACAAAAACATTACCACTCAAAACTTGGCTCTTCAGAATCATCTCTGCTGAGTTACAGTACTTCTTACTACTCTAAAAAATTCCAGTTTGTACCTCTTTTTGATGCTCACATGCACCTTGGCTGCACATGTAGCTTTTTCCTCAAAATATCTGAATAAACTTATCAGTTCTCGTTGAAAGAAGTGCAGACAGTCCTAACACTGAGCTGTAACTTAAGAGTTGTCTGTTCTGTTGTCTTTCTGTGACTATTTCTTTTCTCAAGTCTTCTTAATTTATTGTGTAGTGAACAAAAAGGAAGTGGGAATTCCATGACGATTCTTGAGCAGCCCCATTTGGTTGAAGATGAGGTAAGGTGCCATGCCAGATGTAAGCATTTCACATTTCCATTTGTTTTTCTTGGAAGTCAGGAAAGGTTCTTCTAGCCAGACTGTGTGTGGAGGCCCTGGTGATGTCAGACCAGAATTCTAAAGGCATGGAAAAAGGAGACAGGTGCTCTTGAAAGATAAGTTTAAGCAGGGAATCCTGCTGCTTTTTTATTGCTTGCAGAACCAGTACCATTTCCTGGCACAGTTCCTGGCATCACTACTTAACACCCTGGTTGTCAGATATCTTGACTTCATAATTCCCTGCAAGAGTTGCGTGGCTAAGGGAAGCAAAAGGTTTGCTGTCCCTCACGCCCTCTATTCCACAGACAGGTCAACAACACCAAGACACACCAGGGTGTTTCTATCCTGATACATCTGGGGAGAGACTGAATTGTAACAGGTGCTCTTAACCACACAGAATGCATGTGCAAGTTCCTATTTTCAGTCTTTTATACCTTGCCCTGGCAACAAGCATCTCTTGTTCACCATAAGGACCACCTCCTTCCACTTCAATTTACCATCCTTCAATTGCACATCTACTTCCAATGGGAAAAACAAGACCACTGTTTAGTGAGTGCAGACATGGTATAATCTTCCAGAAAATCCCTTCGTGTCTGACATGGTGCCACGCTCAAGATTCCAAACAGAATCAATGCTATTTGAATCATAGAAGACACAGGATGCTCTCTTGTATAGTCCATTCCCCAAGTAAAGTTCTTCACTACTCTGCTAAAAATAAAGTCATCTTTGACTAATTGCATAGCATTCTCCATAAGAAATGGTCCACTCTGAGATCTAACACACAGAAATGATTATTAAACAACTTTAGTCTACCCCTTGCAGTTTAAGCAGGTCATAAGAAGTGGAGATAATTTTCACTTAAATACACAAAGTCTTATTCTGTCAATAAGCATTACCTCCTTTTTTCCCCAGAAGCAACCCCGGTACTGATGCCTTCTGCAGAACCTGTCACAGAAGTGCTCTGTCCCTCAGAATATTAGCATGGATGTTTTTGTTTTGTTAGCTGTGTATGAAACAGATGCCGAAGCATCCTTCCTGGAACTGGCATGGACAAGGCTGCTGGATGCTCTCACTGCCCTCACTGTAAATAAGAGCTTCTAACACAGTCAACAAATAAAATGGAAATTCCTTCTAACCTCAGTGTGGCAAGAGTTAGTTATGATATCACCTACTATGTTTTCCATTCACCTTCTATCTCCAGGATGCCTGCCAGTTTAAGCAATAGCTCTACCTGCAGTACTGCAGAAAACCATTTCACTGTAGCGGAAAGGAAAACCAGCTCAAAATCCATTGAAACCAGTGCAAGTATCTCCTGTTTGCATTAAGAAAATAAATCAGTTATTTGATGAACCAAATGCAAAACCCCACAAAAACACACCTACATGAATTTAAGGATTCTTTAGTGTAACTTCAGCCTGTTAAAGCTTCTCTCGGTTTACATAATCTAAACTGAAACGATCCCTTTCAAAACTGTAATGAAATCTCAAGCCACCCATTTAAGTCAGTCTGAAACCAAACCTTAGGTTATGCTGCCCACTCTGCTCCTGCACGCATTTCAGCAGCTTAGAACAAAGCTACTGCAGAAGGTGAACAGAGGTGAAAGAGACTGCATTTATCCACAACATGTAGATTAAATTCCTTGAAATATTTAGAACACTGAAATTTTGATTGATCTATTTAGAACTATAAACCATTTAATCTGAAAGAGAATACTACACTGGCCCATAAGCAGGCAAAAGCAGCACTACACTACTTCACTACTTTTACTCAGCATAGAGATTTTATAGACATTTTAAAACAACTTTGAAAGAGTAGAACAGAATTCTATACGAATTATACATCAGTGGCTAAACCAGAGCTTAATTAAACATCTAAAGCACAATATTTCTCCTCAAACTAGAATGGAAAATAGAGTGAAAAGGTACGTGAAAGTAATGATGGGGAAAAACTATTTACTCCAAAAGAGCTGCAGCATTGCACCACAGATGTCTCATCAAGTTAGAATTGCATCAGAAAGTCAGAGATTGATTTATTTATTATGATTCACACTGGTACTGTTATAGCCAGTCATAATAATGGATCTTTGCCACCATACACTTCAATAAATACATTGCCTTGTACCAGTACAGGTGTGACCACAGAAAACGCTTGAAGGTTCACTCAAAACACAGATTTCAGTTTTAGTAAGTAGAAAGGAAGCCAATCTCTTCCTCAGCTGGGGAATTTAAGGATTTAGAAATCCAAGCAGGCACTGCACTCAAGAAGCCCTCAGACATAGAAGTAACCTCCAGTCACTACAGCTCAGGAACTTCCTGCACTCACCAACAGCACAGCCTAAGGCCACACTGCTTGTGTGGACGAGGCTGGAACATACGGCACATTAAATATGCCTCAGAATCCAGGGACAGGTAAGTGATCACTGTGCTGCGGCAGCATGAATTATACTAGCCTACATAACAGATAACACTTGTAGCAGGAATTATTTGAAAAACTGGAATCCATCTCTCAAACAGCAAAGAGAAGCTCCTACGTGGCTGACTGCCAAGGAATAAGCATTCATTTGCACAATAACCTTGAAAGAACTGCTTTAAACCTCAAGTTGCTCGGTAAGACCTATGCCAACTTTCCCCTTGTTAAATACACATATTTGTCCTGAGAATTGAATCACTGAGTCTGCAGGGATTCCATTTAATTAACAAAAAAAAATTAAGGATTAAAGGGATTATGCAATTGGAAAGAAAAGTGGGAAAAAAAAAGCAGTTTGTATGAGACATTCATTTCTGCCTACGCTAAGTAAGACAGAAAAATGCCAACAATTAGGAGTCCTCCTTCATCAGGCAGTAGCTCTTGGCCAAGCACTGATCTGCTGCCTGAAATTTGTCCTCTAATCTCAGTTGCAGGAGAGATAAAAGCTACGGTATTCTGCAAAAAATAAGCTTGATCAGTGAGTTTGATTCTAAGCCTCCAATAAAAACATTGTTGTGTACAGCAAATAACCTGAAAAGAAAAATAAAGAAAAGCGGGACGGCTCCGATGGAATTGCTGTTGTTCTGTCCCCGAAGCAGGTTCCAGCCCCCACCTGCCTGCTACTTAGATAACAGATCAACACCATCTCCAAAGACTTCCAAATGTTGATTCTACACCTCTCTGCTGTCAGACTCAACCTCGGGGGCTCCAAGCCTCTTCAGAAGGTTTCTCAGCGCCATCTCCTGGGGCAGCAATTTCATTATCCCTGCTTTTATACCCAGTAAGGGACAAACCCCAAAGTTTGGTTTTCTAAATTGAGCTGACTACACAGGTAAATGCACTCACCTATCCCAGTTCAGTCCCAACAGTTCTCTCCCCTCACAGTTCTTACACCAGGAAATTACTGGTGCACTGTAACTAGGATCAGAACCAACCTGAACTACACTGCGTTGCTGGAAAGACTCCAAAAATTCAGTTGTTACAACACATCCCAAGACACTTCAAGGAAGCCCAACCTGGGTACGTTAATGGGTTGCAGTTGCAGCAAGGCTGCAGAAGTAAACGTACATCTCAAAAGAACACAAGCCCAGCCCTCTGCCTGGTCTGAAAAAGGAGTAAAAATGTGGGCAGTCATTGACTTGCAGCGTTTCAGCAAGACTGCCTTGTCCTACATTTTGTGCAGCGCTGACCAGATAGGGAGAAAGGCTCAGAGAGTTCCATTCTGTAGAAAGGTTCCTTATACTGCCTGTTCTCATCACTTCAGGTTTAAAAATAATCTGTAATTGCATAGTCAGTTCCATTACATCTTTTGTGGAACAAACCTTATTTCGGGCTCTGCTCTCTGTTGCTCTGTTTGGGGCTGCGTTATCCAGAGTTCAATTCCCACAAGATACTGATGTGCTGTATTTCCCAGCTCCAGTCATGCCAGACTTATTTTCCTTCATGCCAAACAGCGCGAAACTTTAGTGTGCTAATTCTGTAGTACTGAGAGGACAAGGGAGTTAAGGACCAGTTTGTCAAGGCTGACTTGGAGAATATACCCAGACTACAGTGTGCCAGCCCAGCAGGGGAGGAAAAAAAAAGAAAAAAGAAAAAAGATTTTTTCTTCCCAAAGTGGTGGAAACTATACTAACCAAGAAGCAATGTTTTAGCAGCTGTGATCTTGTACCAGACTAAGTTTCTAGACCACTTGCCAATCCCACAGAGAAACAGATGATCTTCAGAAAGGTCTACAGGCCTCCCACCTTCATTTATTGCAAAGGCACACAGTTACGCACACATACTCGCTTCTGCGAACCCTTCAGCCCATCACAGAACAAGAAAACACCCAGGTCAGAACCTCTGACATCTTAAAAAAAAAAAAAAAAAAAACTTGGAGAGAATATCAGAAGACAGAAGCACTGCTGTGCACACCAAGCGCTCCACAAAGCAGTTTGTACTGTGTGCTACATCACAGTTTGCACACAGTGGGCAAAAGGAGCATCTTCAAAAAAGGAAGCTGGCCACACATGGCTAAGGTACAGTTATTTTGTTGCCATCCAATAATCACGTAACAAAGCCGAATAATTACCACAACAGGAAATAGAAATTAAGTGGCTTTGAGGACAAAAATCCACTAGAACCCTGAGCAGGCTGATCTGGTGGGGGACAACCAGCCCATGGCAGGGGTTGGAACCAGCTGTGCTTTAAGAACCCTTCCAACCCAACCATTCCATGATTTTATGATAAGCTCATCTGCTATTACAATTCCAATATAGAAATATTCTACTGCACGCCTATCTCCATACACACTAAACTCAAGCCAGAAAATCAACCAGGAGTTCCATATCCCAGCAGCAGCTCCTCACGCATGCGCCACAGCTCAGTCACAAGTTGTCTCCTCTGAAGTTCCTCGTTTCACCGCCTGCCACACTACTTGATCAGTATAACTGAACTCGTGCTGACTTGGCATAAAGCAGCTTAAAACAGGTGAAAGATCTTTTGCATTATTGAACAGATTTCTATCTTAATGCTTAACTCGGAAGGTGGACAGCTGGCAGTTCTTCCCACTTTTTCATCCCTTGACTTTTTAGGCAGTTTATTTTTCACAAGTCATCACTTTAAATCCAGAATACTTGTTTCTTCTGATAATTTGGGACAACTTTTTAAATGCTAGGTTAATCTGCATTTACTATTATTTGCTTGTTCAGTAATGTATTCCTATTCCTACTGCTCTGTTACATTAAACCAAAGCAAGTGAAAGTTAATTAACAGAAACAAGAACAATTTTTTTTTTTTTCCACAAAACGGCAGCTTTGATAAAATTTTAAAAAGTTCACTATAGATCAGTCCTTAATTTTTTTTTTTTTTTTTAAATGCAATTCCCGTTTCCTTCCTTCACCCATGGATTCAGGGGTTTGTACCTTTATTTGGGATGAGCTGTTTCTTCACTTTGCATCATGACGTGTGCTCTGTCCCCTCAGGAAAATGCCTTTGACATTTTGGTAGGAGAAAGAATGTTTAAGTGACAACTTCAAAGCTGAGTAAAGGCAATAAGCTGTGGGCAAGCTGCCCAACTTCTACATGACGCACTTCATGATTGCTCTAAGAGGCTGAGTCTTCCCTGTGAGAAGACAAAGGACAGAAGCTGCTTGTGAAGAATGCTTCATTAGCTTTCCTTGGAGGACTCTCAGAGTGAATATTGATAATGCCATTGTCATTGATAGTTCACTGAAGGAGAAGCATTTGTACAGAGCATCCAGCACCAACTGTGAGATCACGCATCAGATCAAACCTAATTACTGTCTGCAGTTTTGGAACAAAGAGTTACATGACTCAGATGGGGAAAGAGAATTCCTCTCTACTTCTCTCGTAGGAAAGCAAAGGGGGAGAGGCACATAAAACATATTAGGATAATTTTGTAGGGGAATTCTTTTGCCACATTCACTGACTTCAGCAAAGTCCACCAAAGCGGGTGTTGTAGCTACAGAATGCATGCTACAGATGTATGAAGTCAACACTGTACCTATCTGTACAAAGGACAGTAGCAAAGTTTAACTAGAAAGGACCACTAAAGGTCCTCTTCCACCCCACTGCCTTTGTACTCAAAGCATTGGAACTTACACAGTGATGCTGATTTTAAAACAGTTCTAGGAGCCACATAATTTACAATATAAAGATGAATCTTCAAATGGAAATGTTAAGAAAGAAGGAAGTAGATAAATTCATTTCTTGCACAACTTAGAATTACCACAAATAAAAAATAGAACAACAGTAGCAGTAGTTAGATTTCACAGTATTTTGAAGAGGATTTGAAAGCACAAGTGTTTGATATGAAAGGCAAGGAAGGAAGGAAATTAATGAACAGCTATTATAAGTCTGAACAGATCTTTTTCCCCCCCCATATTAGGAAAATCATCATAAAGTTTTTTTTAGTTTGAAGTTTCTAGACAGATAGGATGCTTCATAAGGAATAAGGATGAGGGACCAGTCCAGTGAGTTCTTCCTCTGATATTAAAAAAATGAAATTTTGCCTTCTCTACTTAAAATATGCCAGATGGAAGGAAAGAAACTAACCTTATGAGGTTATGTATTACATATGGCAGCTACTGCATTTACTTTAAAGGCAAAATGCAAACTGGAAAAGCAGCTATCTGGTATGCACAGAATAAAGTAGTTACTTCCAAGTAAAGGAAACAGAAGATGAAGCAGAATGGAGAAAGGACTCCCAGTCTAAGGAGAGACCCGAGTTTAATATCAACCAAGGTAGTTTATACGTATCAAGTAAGTTTCCACATAGAAGCTCTACTTTTTCTGCCAAGATGATTCTCCAGGGCTACACTGGATAAAATCATCTCAAACAAAATGAAAAGCTACAAGAAAGAAAGAAACAAGTCCCTTCCACTGTCATTCTCTTTGTGAATTAACTAGATGTTTTAACTCCCCTTCTCTTTCACATCATCTGGCACAAGATCCCCAAACACAATACATCCATCCATTTCACAAAAGAGGAGAAAAAAAGAATATTTCATATCAGATGCTTTGCGTCAAGCCTGCTAAGGCTCATAAATCTTACTGCCCTGGTCATTTCAACCAACGTCTGACCCTTTTGTTAACTCATGATTTATAACTGGAAGTTATTTTCTTTATGCCAGATTTATAAACTTTACTGTGCTTGGTTTGATATAATATCCATTTCGTACATCAAGCTATAAGACAGTAAATTTATTGTCCATGAGGTGTTACCTTGAAAAATTACATCAATGCAAAGTGGTTTCCATTTACAATCAATAGACAATAAATTCATTGGATTTCTTTTTTGGGGGGGAGGGAAGGGGTATGACCATATTTATGAGGTCATGAGTGGCTATATAATGAGTGAAACAGGGAGCAGAGGCAACAGTCTGGAGTTCCGAATTACAGGCGTTGACAAGACGAAATATATTCAACAGAGCAACAATGCATAAGCTGGTATTCTGCTGTCTCATTATCATCAGCTTCTCCTGTCCTCTCTTTTCTCTCCCCGTCATCAACGCCAGCGAGATGTCTTATCAACTCCCAGGTAAGCCCTTTGGATTTAGCAGTCATAAGAGCAAATGGAACATGAAAACCAGAACAGCAGCAGCAGGTATGCTTTTGGAGGGGATCTTTATCTGTGCTGATCAGCTGGATAAAAAGCAGGAATGACTTCAGAACACTGGCCACAAGTAACATCACTGGTGGGCAGCAGTTCTGTAAAACGGGCAGGTTGGGTGCTTTTACGTATTTCTTCCCGCTGCTTTTAAATCAAAGGGGCAATATAATTGAGACTTGCAGCGGACGAGCGCAAGCTGGCAGATGCAGCATCCATCACTGAAGCAACATTAGTAGACATTAGGTAATTTACAGAAACTTGGCTGAATGGCACTTGCTGCACTTTAAAGTGAATTATGCTTAACCGAAGTTGCATTTTAAAGGGGGTAAGCCCACTACAAGGATTAATGCATTCCTACTCACATCAGGTGCAGGCAAACCTGACTTACAGTACAAAAATAGCATTGTATTGAGCATGATTTTGTACTGAGCATACCTTCTGCTTGCACTAATGCAGACTCCACTCCACACAGTGGAAGAATAAATCTTTGCTGTTCTCAAAGTTTGAAGTCATACTGTAAGCCAGAGTAAGACGTTAAGAGTTAAATGGCATGCAGTGCCTACAGGGTTATCATTATCAGACCTGACCTGTGCTGGAAGCATTCCTGAAATGAGCTCTGAAAGAACATGCAAATCTAAAAAGGAACTGTTTCAATAAGCTAGATACAAAAAAGCTCCTGTAATATAATTGCTCTGCAGGTGAAGTGGCTGTTGTTGGTTTATAGGTATTCATCCATCACCTCCAGTTTGCTGTGTATAACTTGGACTCACTAAGCCAGCATCTTCTCAAACATTCCACAAAATAATTTGCCATTTACAAGCAGCCATGACTTAGTATGGACAGCATCTATCTTACCACAGGATGAACAAGCTAACTAACCATTTATCTTCAAACAAGTGTGCTGGATATACCCATTGGGCTAATTAAACCTTCCTTGTATTACCCTTTGTATTTACAAGAGAGTAAGATAGATAAAGACTGTTTGTTTTGTTTGTTTTAAATCTCAAAGCAACATCACCTGTTAACACTGTCCTGAATTGAAAAACAGTATGAGGATATGCATACAAACTTCTCACTACACAGAAAAGGGAATGTAAAATATTCAGTCAATCCTACACTGCAACCCCCACTGTGCTTTATAACTGCCCTGACAAACTAAGCCTGCACATCAAAGATCTACAAATATCTTCATAACAGACAACATAGAAATGTTGGGGGATTGTTTGCAGTGGCTTTTCTTGTATATAGCTCACACAAAGGAACTACAGTTTCACACATCTGTACAGGTAAAAGCAACTAAAACTCCACAGAATAATCCAGAAATGCAACTAAGAAAACAACGTAACAGTTTTGCAATAGTTCTCTGTCAGCATCCATTATTTTGAATAGCTACTGTTAATTAGCAGAGATGTTTACTGTTAACTGCAGCGTAGAACCATTAAGGGCTCCTGTTTGCAGCCTACCTTGGGGTAAGATAACAGGTTAGTTTCAGAACTACAAATTCTCTATTCACATCCAAATAATTCCATCAGGTATCACCAACCCGTAATTTCAGAAAGACAGTACTGGTACACACTTTGACTGAGAGACAAGAGAAACATACCAAGAAATACAACTGCAAAAATCTCCTTTAAGATTCCCAACATTTATTCCTGTCCTTTTCCCCATTTTATTGGGCTTAATAGTTGGCAAATAGAGTAAGTTAATAAACCTCCAACAGTAAAATTCGTCTTCAGTCATAAAAAAGTGCCAGTGGAGAAACTCATTTGTAAAGGAATTCAGATATAAACCAACCAACAAAAAAACCCAACACAAATCTAGCTACTCCCTTTAACATCCATTAAATGAGGATGGGTGATTTATGATTTTAAGATCCTTTTCAATAGATGGAGCTAACTTACCTGCTTGGAAATCATCTGAAATGGAATGAAACTGGGATTAAAGGTATAAGGCCCTCACCACACAACCATCTCTTATCTTCCTCTTGCAGATGATGAAGATTCAAGGCTAAATCTGGAGCAGCTGGGCAGCTCAGAAAGTACCTCCCTGCCTCAGTTTCTGCAGGAGCTCTTGGGCACACTGGTTGAAGACAATAAAGCAGGTGAGGCTTTACCAAAGCACCTTATATCAGAGTGCCAATAGTTTACACATCCACAAGTCACAGCAGACACAAAAATTCACTATTTATAAACAACAAATCATTTTGCCTCCTCTCTACCAGGTCTTACCTCCAGCAGCTACAATCCAAGGAAAAATATCAAAGAGGTAAGTAAATGATCACTTGCTAAATTAAGACCTCATGTTTTAAACTACATGGGTTTGTTACAAAGACACCACTTAAGATCCACAGATTTAACACAGTAGGCTAACATGTGCCACAATATTCCTGAAGCTCGAATCACTGGGCAGTTAGGTTTGCGGGGAAGAAAGAGAACAATAAAAACCAATTTAGGAAAAAAAAATAATCCGAGCATTTCATGCAAACAAATCTAATGTTCCCCCCCCCCCGCAGTAAACCAGCTTTCAAAATGAAGGTCAATATCCAACTTCAGCAGGCCTGCCCTGTATGTCAACCAGCATAAGTCACGCATCCTTTCCCCCCCCACTGCAGCACAGGCCGTGCAATATTATCAGAGCTGCTATCAGCCTGTAGGTAAATTGAGAATATCGTTTCTGTTTGACTGCAGATGTAGACTGTTTTAAGTACATCATCTAAACCTGAGGTGCACCAGCTGGGGATAGTGAAGAGTATACTTTCTCAATGGAAACATTAAGCAGCCACCAATAACCTGTCTGCCTCTGTTTGATTTCAGACTTTCTATGGAAATCACCCACGAATTGCTCTGCTGGGCCGCTTACTGATGAAGGACAGGAAGCAGTACAAGAAACGTGGCAACCTTTCTGAATGCTTCTGGAAATACTGTGTGTAAACAGAACAAACCTCTCCAGACTTCAGCTGCATAATTTATATATATGTCTAAAACCATGTACATAAACTTGCTTGATTTGAAATCAGAATGAAGAAATTTGAAGATAGCTCCTAACTTTAGACTCTACACTACCTGGAAATTAATAAATGGTTGATGTTTTGCAAATATTCTGTGAGCAGAGTAGTATTTTCTTAGTTCAGCACAACCAGATGAAAGTAAAGGTACTAAATGAGAGATATGTAACACAATGAGAACTCAGGCAGGAGAAACATGATTCTCATGGGGTCCCATGACACATCCCTTTTCTTTCCCCCCCTCTAAAAGTAACCTCAACCACGTATAAGTTCAGAAGCAAGAGGAATTTCTCTTTCATTATTTGATCCCTTGATACAATTGGAAGTGCTGGGAAGGAGGGGCTCTGATAAAGCTAGTGAAGGACGGCAGCACAGCTGGTGCCCAGTCCCCTCCTGTCATTCCTGAGGCAGCCCTTATAAGATAAGCACATGTCAGGATCAAGTGTCTATTCCTACAACCTCTGGAAATATCACTCACAAATACAGTTTGAACAAGTCTGTTTCTCAGCAGCATCTTGACCAGCCCCAGCTGCTTAGGAAAACATAATTGCCAGTACATAACAAAAGCTTTACTAATTGTAGCTGAACATTATCAAGTACAGCAGAATGTAAACAGTAGTGCTGTCAACAACAGGACTTCGAACTCAGAGTGCAAACTGTCAGTGGAGGATGAGAATGAGATGACTTGACAGCAGAATTCCAATACCCAAGGATAGTGAAGAAAAACTATTGAAAAGCTTAAACAAGCCCATTACAGATGTTCATGGTGAAAATGATAAACTGGGTCTCTTCTCATTAGAGTGGTGGGCATGAAAAGGGCTCCCCAGGGCAGGTGCCACAGCACCAAGACTCCTGGCGTTCAAGAAGCATTATGGACAGTGCTCTCAGACACAGGGTATGAGTTTTGAGTGGCCCAGCGAGGAGCCAGAGGTTGTACCTGATCCTTGAGGGTCCCTTCCAACATGAGACATTCTAAGATTCCTTTGTTTCCTGAGCCCTAGCGTACTTTATCTCAGTCCCAGGTACATCCTAATAGTATTCGCAATGAATAAAGCTAAAGACTCAAGAATTGTCTCTAGGCAATATCAGTCTTCATGATACACACCAATAGTTTGAGCTGCAAAGTCCTACTTTGTTCACTTTGTGCTTCGCATAAACCTCACACTAATCAAGGTTCACAAAGCCTTAATTAAACTTTGCCTACGATACATATAACTGAGATCAATGTAGCATATACCTCAAATCTCTACCCATTCTGCTTAAACAAGGCCTACAGGCTCAGTATAACTCGTTCACATCAGATAAGTCATAAGATAGATGAAGCCAGCTGTAACAAAGAAAAATGTCCCTACGAATGCAGAGTAGCTGGATGCACTGCACGGGTACTTCAAGCCTTCTGAACATTTGTCTTCCTCTTACACAGTGCAGCAAGTCAGTGTCTGACTGGAAATTACTCCTTCCCTGCCACCTCATCAGTCAATAAAAACCTGTAGGAAAAGGCTTCAAATTTATCTAAATGAATAACTATTGAAGATGAGGCAGGAAAAGGTGTCCAGCTTATGAAGACTTGAAGAAAAACAACTGTTAAAGCTTATTTCAGAGTGGCAAACAAACTAAATAAGATAATGAAGAAAAATAATAATGAAGCATTGCAAGCATTAATGAGTTATCTCCAGTGTCTGAGACCAGGGAGCCTGTCCAGCTCTTGACAGAGAAGCAGCAAACTCAGCTTCCCCCCAGTGCTGCTGTAACTACAGCTCTCGACAGCTTCCACCTCAGGCTTTCCTCCCTACAGGAGTGCAAGGAGGGCACTCCAGGCAAACTGATCACTTTGGATCGGCAAATTGTTTCACTGCAATTAAGAGCTTTCTTGCTCTAGAAGACACATCTCTGATAATCCATGAACTGTTTCTGTTTTCTCTAGAACACCATTTTCAGCATGGTGAGGCTCAAGTGCTCTCACCGTGTTTATTATTTACACTTCTCTAGCAAACTCAGGAAAGACAGAAGTTTTCAACTGTGCACACCAAAGCTGAGCACTTCACACATCCAGTAATAATCCTTTACATTCAAGGTGTGCGTGCCCTCCTTCCTGGGACGCATTCAGAAACAAAACAGCATATCCTGAAAAACAACGCACAAAAAATACAACAAAGAACCAACAGCAAAAATAGCAATGGAAATCATCTTCACTATACCTACAAAATATTGAATGTTTCAGAAATTACCCAATAATAAAAGCAAACATGCTTCAAAAAGTTCTTGGGATGATGTTTTTTTTGTTTTATTTATAAAAACAGGTGCCCCTTCAGGTCGTATAGTGAAAAATCACAACTGCAAATTAAACCGCAACTGAATAATACTCCAGTGAAATATTCCTATCAATTAATGCAAATATTCATTCAATTGTGATTTAAAATTGATTCAGCTGGAGGATAAACTCCCCAACACATCCATCACATGCTGCAAAAATACACTGAGGTCCCCCTTCTGTTCATACCAATGCCACGACGCATCTGGACAGTGATTAACCTATTTTAAACATAAAACTATTTTTGAACAGGAAAAAAACACAGCCTGCTTAATCCAAACTGCTGAAACCCCCACAGGGGGCAGAACTATGACATTGCTGTACTTGAATTTATCCCATTTGGTGACTAAAAACTAAAACTTTGAGAAGCTTTAAGCTGTCTCCAGTATTTTAACTCTATCAATCAAAACAAAGTCACACAAAACAGTGTGCACATCTGGCTGCAGTATTTACTCCATCACTCTTTCAGATCAAAACTGTATTTCACTGTGACTACTTCAGGAGCCTATGAAGAGTGAAAAACTGATATAAGCTAAGGTAAAAGCCATCAGTTCCTAAAAACTCACAGAAATGAGGTCCTTCCTAAGAAGCCTGATAAAGCATTTTGTTGCCAGATGTTCCTGTTTCAGTGGGATAAAGAATAGCTTGGAAAACTATTTTTTGTCTTAAATCCAGTTTTGCAGATAAGACTGTTTGTGTTCCTGAGCAAACAATTTAGTGTCATTATCACACAGGGCACTGATTCACCATTTGGTTTCTCTTAAAGAATCTTGCACCTAAGCCTGAGCCAGGATTATGTGCTTTGTATTTAAACTCCAAGGCTCATGCTCCTGCACTGCATGCGATGATGGTGAAGTACAGTGGTCACACCACTGTAAAAACTGTCCAGGATTTCTGCTTCTATGTACATCTACTGAGCACAGGTTCATGCAGTAGTTAGCACAAGAAGGGTTAACATTCTCCAAGAAGAAACAGCATAATAACAGTTTGTATGTACAGGTGAGAATCTTGACCATTTATAGCAAAGACAGCAATGGACAGAGTGAACAAAGATCCCTGATTACACCCCTATGTTTGGTATGAACTGGGGCTGTGCACCTGTGCAAGTTCTTCCTGCCTCTGCCTCTCTTTATACAAGAGGGTTAAGAACACATTCCCAGACCTATGAATTAAAGGGATTATTCAAGTTATTAGTTTCAGATAATGATAACTTAGGACTAAGTCTTCTATAAAGCAGATGTCTTAGCATTATAAGTAATCTCACTTTCCTTCTAATTAGAAGTTAAACTCTCCTGAAGGACGTAAATGCCCTTATTTGGAATACTCATTTCACTATGTGAAACAGATTATTTCACTAAGCCTCAAACCATATTAAAGCAGTGAATTTAAGTACAGCTAACCAGAACTGATTCAATTACATTAATAAGTTAGTTAAGAACCTTCCCTGCTAGGGAAAGAACCTATATAAAAAACATCTTGCTACACGTTTCAGAGCAAATGTTTTAGGCAGTCAGGTTATAAAACTGCATTCCATGTTTGGAAAGTGCTAAAAGTAAAAATGTGGGTGAGGTACCACACTTACTGTGTAAGTCAGGGACTTTTCTACAAGTGTATAACTTTCTATATGTAAACATCTATTGAGGATTCTTATTTTAAAAAGCATTTAAACATCAAGCACATGAGATACTGAGAATGTGTTAATCTTTGCCAATTTACCACAGTTAAGAAAGAAAAGCTCAAGATGAAAGACAAAGAAGCGCAGCTTAAGAACAAACAGAAAGCAATACATATAAACAAAATGAGCAGAAATACAGGAAAAAAAAAAAAAAAAACCAGAAACCAACAAACACTGCCTGAGATGAAATAGTCTTGAACACTTAAAATACAGTAAAAATAACATTCCATGAAATAAGCTTTAGTGACAAAGACTTCCACTGAATTGATTAGAAAGATAGGAAAAGCCTACAGATAAATCTAAATTTATTTCAGTTATCTGAAGTCATAGTATTATTTCACTTACTCAACAAGTAGCTCATTAGTAATGAAACTGAAAGCCTTTCACATAGCAGATGAGTTACACCACATAAAAAAACTGAACAACAACATTCAAAAAATACTTGTGATAAGCATAAGGAATAGCTTTGCTCTTTTTCACTTCCGTTTATTGGACTTTTTTGATGGACACAAGCTGGAGAAAGGCATTTTGATGCCTAATAACTTACCCAGTTTTCAGTCACTCTTTAAAAGGCTATGGCATTCTGTAGAACTTAAAGCCTCAAAACATCTTTAGAAACTCTAGTTTAGATCTTTGCAGACTGAATAAACAAAATTGCAGGATGTTCCGATGTAGCTCAGATTCACTGGTACTAATACATCTACCTCAACAGACAACAAACAGGGCTGTACCAATGTAAGCTCATAACAACTGCATCTTTTCAAACTCTTACCTGTTCAGTTAAAAAAAGAAAACAAACAAAAAGAACAGTACAACACCACCACAAAACAAAAAAAAATCTTTATATTTTGCTCATCCCTGAGCAATCAGAAGTTAGAAACAATCCACTCATAACCATTCATTCTTGTCAAGTTTTCCTTCTTGGCATCACAAACAACCTCCCAGTGAAAGATTGTCTTCAAAATCCTACCAGGAGCAAAGGGAATAACGGAGAAATGTTTGGTTTCACGTATCATTGCCCATGGTGGGAGAAAACAGCTGGAGAGATTTGCTGCTAGCATCTTGCAAAGCCAAAGGAAAAGGGAATGGGAATTACTCCAATCAGTTTTACTGTCACAGGCACGGATGTCTTCAGTGTTCCAAGACTGGAAGCGGTTTTCCCTTGTTTTCCATATTGTCATCAGCCATTGCAGCCTCACAAGTTGCTTCCCTGACGTCACATGTAACACATCCCTTTAGAAAGGAACAAGAACAATCATTTAAATTCTCTGGATATTGCAAAGAATCCATCCTGGTAGCACAATATGCTGCAATCTCTTGAAATTTCTCGTGAATTGAATGAAATCTCTTTAAAAAAGCAGAGACCGTACAGAGATCTTAATTTTCAGTGGTTGGAAGTGCAAGTACGTACATTTAGCTAGTATTCTCAAGCCTTCCAGCATTCACAAGTAACAGCTATCAGTGACCCTCATGCTGTAAAATTCGCATTAGCTGGAAGCAGCACTACCTCTACCTAGCCAAGACATGAATAAGCAGCTGATTCCTTTCACAACTCCTTACTTGAGTGTTGATTTGTAGTGGGACAGTCTGCATCCGGAGCCACGTATGCACTTCCGCAAGCTCCCTCTTTTGCCTATCTGAAAACCAAGGCTGTTGCTGTCGCATGACTATCAGCTTCTCCATATCCTCTTTTAAAACTTCCTCTTTAATTCTGTAAAACAAAACAAAAAAGAACCACAGACACCTGTTAACACAGCTGCACTGAATACAACAAGGCAAGCATTGCTGATAATGACTACAGGATACAGCTGTGTGTAAGGCTGAAGTCAGCCAATGAAAAGTAACTGTGTTTTGCTATATCTTGTTTTAGTTGGGAAGCTTTTTCAACACCAGTCAGACTTTTAGGTTGGCTTATTTATTTTTTTTAAGTGAAGAATCTCACTACAAATTACATAGAAGCAATTGCAAACAACACAAGTATTTTTACCCTTTAATGCAAAGTGCAGGACAAAACCCAATCCGCTTAGCGCTTCAACAAAGAGGTTTCATGTTATCATATCTTAAGTGTTAAAGAAATACAGGCAAAAAGTAGATTAAAAGAAACGCCCAGAGCCTAAAACAGTAAACGAACACAACTTCTGAGATTTCCTGGTCCATACACTGTTTCCAGGGTCTTGTTTTTAACTCTACATTTCTTCCTTGCACAATTCCAAACTGTATGTCAGAAAGCGTTGATGTTTTCTAACCTGTTAGGCATTTGGTACGTCATTAGAACTTGCTCAGGTGTGCGATCCATCGTCACCCAGGCTGACTCATGTTTAGATTTATGAGGTGTCTGTTTTTCTTTTGCTTCTTGATTAATCTCTGTTTTGGAAGTTTCAGAAGAATCATTACTGGCAAAATACTTGCTGCTTTTCCTACTGCCTGCTGAGAATTACCATGAAAAAAAAAAATCTGACAATGTCTTGATAATCCAGAAATAGTAAAATTCACCACTGCGTTTGTGCAAGCTATTTCCAATAGGGTGAACACAGGTCCTCTCAGATGACTTCTCTGGTAAGAGATCACCACTTACTGAAAATTCAAAGATAAATCTATTCTATTAAGTTGCTTGAGACCTCCAAGGTTTTACTTACTCTTCTCAAGATTTGTCTCAACTTCTCTGCTTTTGTTCCAAGAAACCCTGCTCTATGCAGACTTACCCTTACTTGAGTAAGATGCAAACCACCCTCTAATACAAAGGAAAAAAAAAACAACTTATGAGCGTAAGTTAGAAGCCTGACTTACAGATTTAAGGAACAATTTCTAGACTCATTTCTGACTATTGTGACTGAACCAAATTCGGCCTCAAACACTGAAAGCTGGTGAAAAATAATGACAATGCAGCCTCTTACTGGGACTTCCCTCTCCCATCACAGTATATTTTTTATGACTTACCAACATGTTAGCAACCCACCTAACATTGGAGTAGCAAGCATCCAGATCTTGACTTCCTTACCTGTGCCACCACCAGAAGTTTCACAGGAGTGAGAGCCTAAAGAACTAGATAAAGCCAATCCACTGCCTGATGCTGCTGAACCTGCGCCTGACTGGGAGTCCTCATGCAGCAACCGGTCAGTAAATTCACATGAAGCACAATGGCTACTAGCACTGTTACCACTATCTTCCCGACTATTGTCCTGGAAACAAAAATCAAAACAAACATCCATGGAAGTCACCCTCAAGCTTGAAAAAGGAAGTTCATGCATTTACTGAATTTGTCATATGTTGACTAAATTCTTGCATCAGTTCAATAGCTTTGGAATTTCTAGCTCTGAAAATGAATGGCTATCTAGAACTCATGATAAAACTCTTCACATGTGAAACCAAAAAGTGTCCAGACTTTCTGATTCATGCTGCAGATCTTTCCCCATGGAGTTTCCTTCAAGATATTGTACTTTCACATTAAGTCAACTTTTTCACTGACAAGAGAGTTTTCTCCACGCTCTGTTAGGTGGCACAGAGCAGCCAAATACATCAAGTGATGCTGCCCTACAGGGAAAGTGAAAGCATTCCCCTGAATCACTGCAGTAAGCTCATATCTTCAGCAACTACAGATACATCAACTCCCCCTCAGGACCCTACCCTGCAGTTTCAGCTGATCCAGCCTTTTCAGCACAATCTGGATTCCCGAGACATTTTTTTCCTTGCCTGCAGAGCTCAGATTCCTGCCTCTGAGTTTACCGCGGAAGCTGGAGAGGCTTTTTCTATGCCCATGTATGGAAACCGACCCACACGGATCCCTGTTCTTCGGTCATTAGCTGCATCCCTGGGAGACAGAGGGAGTAATTAGAAAAGTATCTTCCCTTTGTTTTAACTCTCCACAGAGACTGTGGGACTCGGTGAAAAAGATGCGAATCATGTAGTCCTAACCAAGTTCCACATGCATAAAAGCCCACCCAAAACTGTTGACAATTTAATGGGGAAAAAAATAAGTGTTGCCAAAGCACTGAGCAAGAGCAGCTTGCAGCAGCCTAGACCAGATCTCACATCTCTGGCATTTACTGAGCACCAACTCTGCACTGCTACAAGTTCCCATGGGCTCAAACATAGTTTCTCTGCCTCCTGTGCTATTTGTGCCCTGCAGTCTACAGAGCATAGATATTAGTAAGTGGTAAGAGAAGCTAATTCTCTTCTGGAGAATCTGGTGACTGAACATTGTTTAAGTCAGTTTCTCTTTGACACTAAAAATCTTTGTTACTTACACATTTAGCTTCTGCACATGCTTTAACATCAGTATTAACTGAAGGCTCCACAGATTCTGGCAGCTCTTCTTGAAGCAAATTCAGTTGAAGTGGGGAGCTGCTCCGTGAGCTACTCAGCTGTAAGGCCCAGCCATGCTGTCCCTCCAGCTGTTCCTCAGTGGATGCGGCAGAAGAGGCTGGACAGGACTGATCCACAGAGATTGGGGCTATTGGTGATTGGGCTGAAGGAGGAGGGGCAGGAGGTAGAGTAGTGCATGGATATGAAGAAGGGAGATAAACATTCTGAGGGCTAGGAAGAAAGGCATATTGAGGCACTTGAGTATATATGGGGAAATTGGGAAAAAATACAGCCATAAACATCCCTATGTTTGGGGGAGAAAGCGCTGGAAATGATGGTGCTCCACAGCACAGCTGTGACAATGATGTGGGCTCAGGTTTTGTTGAGTAAATAGCAAGTTCCTCTCTTATAGAAGAGGCTGGAAAACTAGACAGTGCATCTGAACAGACAGGAAATCCCACAGGAGGAAAGAAATTCGTACTGGAGGACTTTAAACAGGACATTTCTGAGGGAGAATGTGACTGTTTCTGAATTCTTCTCTTCTCACACGGAAGACTATTTCTATTTTTACTACAAGATCGTCTATCTGAGGACTGTCTCTGAGGTTTCCGGTGCTTAAATTTTCCTTTTTTGCCATTTTTACAGCTGGTTGGAGTCACCTCTTTAGAAGGAGAATTTCCTAAGGAGGAAGAAAAAAGAGACACTCATTGAAATGACAGACCTAGGAAGAAAAACCAAACAAACAAACAAAAAAAAAACCAGAAGATAAAGAAGAAAAAAATAAGAAAAAAACATCCAGATCATTGAGTGTAGCTTATTCACAGAGCTGTCTTTCTTCCGGATAATTCTGCACAATTCTTCCACATACTACAGTGCTGGACTTGCAAACATACCCACAGTGTTTTCCCTTCCTACTATCTTTTTTTTTTTTTAATTTTGGATTATCTCAATCAGATATTTCATATTCTTTCAAAAGAAGGCTATAAGCTATTTCAGACTTAGCAGGTTTGCTGCAGTATTTGGGAGCTTTGCAAAAAGTTTAAAATAGCAACAACCAAAATGCAGATGATCTTCAGCATGGGCAATGACATTGCCAGGCCTTGACAATTCAGAACTACTCTGTTTTCAGCCATAGTAAGATCTTCAATAAATCACACAAAGGAGAACAAGTCTTCATTGCAAAGCTTGTCTTTAAAATAAGCCCAATAAATTTCTATTTCTCAAAGTTGCTGCCTACCTTGGTCATAGGAATGCTCATTGTTATTTCTGCTATCCCACTGAAGGTAAGTCCTAAATGGAGAGAGCAAGATCCTCCTGCGGAACCTGTCAACGTAGTTTTGCTCTTCCTTTTGAGTGTGGACTGACAAAGCCTCTTTTGTTAACCCAACTGGCTTTAACTCCTCAGCCACTGTAACAGGATTCTGAGCATTCAGAGGAGGCAGCTCGATGTGTTTGTTTCCAACAAGAGTATTCTCCATTGTAGTCACTTCTTTGTAGAGGAAAGAAAATAAATCACTCTTTGCTCTGGCCTTCTGGTGTCAACACCCACAATATGCAGAGCGTTAGATAAAATAAACATCTGAGCTACTGAGCAGACAGGCACTGCAGGGTACCATTTACACTCAAATAGAGTTACATTAATACAAATTGAGCAAATTAGTTCTTTCTTCATCTCTCTTACAATTGCAGTGAAATACTTATTTTTGTGTTTCTGCATTAAGTAATATCAGCCCACTAGTCATGCTTATTTTCATCATCAGTTGCCATGCAAAGGCTCACTGTTGCATTTGAGAAGTATATAATGAAGTTACAGTGCAAAGGAAAACAGGACACTCTTAAACCTAGGTTTTATAAAAACACTGTAAACATTGTCTGACTCAAGTTTTCTTCAGTGTCTGCAGAAGTGCCTCAACTGTATTTCAGAGCTCATATTCATCAGAACATATCTTAATTAGACAAAAGTTTCCTACTGCATACTTCAGTCAGAAAATATTGTTCAATCTAAAAATCATTGAGTCCAAGAATGAATAGTACCTGATTCAGGGTGTGGGACGTGCACGATAGTGCTGCTGTAACTGCACTGGCTAGTGGCAGATACCACACTCAGAGACTTGTTGGACAGGCTCAGGTCTGGCAGAGGAGCTCCCACAATGCCTTTATTTGTCTGCTTTTTCAGCATCTCTTCCTGATCAGCAAATACTGGAGTTTGGGAATTAATTGATGATATAACAGCAGCATCTATTGGTAAATTAAAAGATTCCTACTTTGAATTTCTTTCCAAGCACTTCAATTGCTCCTAAGCCATCAAATCTGATTGGTTCAGAAGCAATCATTCAACCATGCAAACTGTTGAATAAAATAGATATACACACACAAACGTAACATTCATATATCAGTACAATGTCAAAGTACACTAAATGTGGCATAAAACCAGTGAGCTACAGAAGGCTTATTTAGCAACAGCAAGTACTTGCTGATGGATTTAAATTCAAAGACTTACTACTGTAACTTCTGCTTAACTGCATGATCTAGGCAAGGGAAGTAGGTATTTACTGCCTGTCACCAAAACGTCCACGCCGCTTGTGTGGTAGTAATTTAAAAAATGAAAAAAAACCTTGAAACATACAACAGTAGCATATGAGGAAAAAAAACCAAACAAAACCAGTGTTTCTATTACAATAGTCAGCATCCTTTACATTACCTCCCAATGCCCTGATCTCCTGCAGTCTTTGCTGGTTTTTCTTGTCACCATCTGAAGATGACGATGATGTGTTTGTAGAAGATTTAGATTTCCTTTTCAATAGTGGAACACTGCAGCTCTCTAGATATCTGAAACATAAGCACATCACAGGAAGCTCTTTCCACTTAAAAAGAAAGTGACATTATCCACTGAAGTAGAAGCTTTTCAAAGTGTTACAGCCATTGATACAATACCCAAGAGCAAAATCATAGCTTTGCTGTAGTGCCTTCCTACAAAAGCAAAGTACAAAACTGAGATACCACACAAATGTATATGCATCATTGCAGTGACCAAAAACTTCTGTTCGTCTAATAAAGGAAGCAAATACTGACTTCATTTTTTATTACAGTGATTTCCTTTACATGACTGCAGTAAATAAAGACTTTCAGTCAAGTCTTGTACTATCAAGGATGTTTCAACCTAATTGTTGCTAATATAGTAGTACACTGGTTGGCAATACAGTTTGTGTGTAAGTATATACAGGAGCTGAATTGGAAAATAATTAAATTTTTACTTACCACAATAGTTTTTCATGTTCTGTCTTCCTTGAGAAAGGTGATAAAGATATGACTCACATATTTAATGCAGATACATTCCAAATGAGAATTTTATCCCAACCCAAAATCCAGTCAATGCAAATTGCATACATAATTACCTTACGCTAACTGGATTTTAAGTATTATTCACTGTAACTGCTTTGTTGTTTCCTACCTGATGATACTATCAACACAATTAATCTGCTGATAGGAAGGAACGTGTGGAGTCTTCTTTGAATCATCATAAAGTGCATTGCCCAGTTCTTCTGTGCTATCGCTTCTCAAGGTCGGGAGAAAACAAGAAGCACTGTGCCTCTTCCCTAGAAAAGGAGAAATTCTCAAAGACATCTAAGCAATCCCTCCACTGAGATACCTTCAGAGGAACATATGGCCTATCACTGCACAGCTCTCATTACTAAGTTATTCTGCATTTTCATCTCAAAATAGCCCCACCAAAATACTTTCCACATTTAAGCCATGTTAACATGTTAACTTAAGTACTTCAGCAGGCTGCCAAATTCATGGCTCCAGACCTACAAGAGTTTCCATCAACTTAAGGATCACAATTCCATTACTTTACCTTCTAGCACTTCTGAACCCATAGGCTGTTCATTTCCATCCTGTGGCTTGCTCCTTGATGCAATATACAGCTGCTGTCCCAGATTCTTTATCCGGTTGACATCTGCACACACCTGCTGCAAAGTCACCTTGAGATATGTGAAAATGCGAGGTCAGATTAAAAGGAATAGAAGTGGACACAGGAGGCTATTAAGATGGGGTTGGGTTCTTGTATTCTCCTGGCTGAAAGGGAGTAGACTGTCAGCCTAAGTCTAGTATCTACTGGCATTTGTAAATCGTGGCTAATTTAACTGTGATAAACTTCAAACAGCTTCATCATTTAAGTGTTTTTATATTGATGCAAGTTCAGAGCAAGCATTTGCTGATTATTTACCCAGCAGTCTCAAAAAGAAATTAAGTAACAGCACTTCTCTTTTAGGACAGGATTGTTTCCACTCCTACAGTAGTTAATAACACCACTCTAATGTCCTCTTGAGGAAAAAAAAAAAAAGGGAAAATCCAAACCAAATAGAGCCCCCCACTTATCTTGTGCACCAACACTCTTCCTAGTTGCACGGCTTTCTCACTTTTTTCCCTTCGAGTCCCCCAGTTCTTTGAGAAGGCCAAACTTTAAGCAAGCCTTTAATTTACTTCAGTATACTGCAGCAGCTATCTGCTCTTTTTGATGAGCAAAATTAAGATCAAACCCAAAAACCAGCGTTCTATAATTGACGCATTTAAGTACACTTAACTTGAACACAGCCACATGCCTCCATTGGAGAAAATTCTTATGTACATACATACACATAATGACTCTTCATTTCTCAAAGTGTGATTTTATTACTGCAAGGTATTGATATATCTGAAAACTTACTGGTTCTTGTGTTTCCTCTGCACAATTTCCATTGGAGTCGCTTGAAGATGCTACACTGATATAGTGCTCATAAGAACCACTGCTACCAAGGCTACCATAACCACTGGAAACGTTGCTATGAACTGGCTGTATTGGGGAAAGGAGTGGAAGGAAAAAAATAAGCAAAGAGAAGGGAAAAATGTTCTGTGTTGCAAACTTTCTAGTAAGCAACAACAACAAAAAAATTTAAATGAAGAGTCAGTACTGTTTTGAGTTCTATCACTTTCTTGTGGAAAAAAATTCTACCATCCTCAAAGCCATTCCAGGATGAAGATTTACCTTTCAACACAAACATCTGCAAAACACGTCAAAACAGTCTTCTAATCAGATGGGCTATATAGAGCCTTAGTTTTAAATCTGGCACACAAGCCTGTCTCCAATTAAAATGTTCTTTCAAAGGAGCACACGCAAAAAAGTTTGCTAAACAGACCCCAGATTCTTCAGCCTCTTATTCAGAAGGCAAAACAGTGTTTTGAGATTTTCATCTTCTTTACCTGCAAAAGCAGCTTGTAGATTTGTCCTTGCAATTCTTTTATCTCTTTCTCAACATTGCAAGTTTCTTGACTTCTTGTAGCAAAGACATCTTCATTCAGAGGGCTTCTAGAGAGTCAACAGAATACCATAATTAATTCTAAACTGATAAAGAAAAAATAACCATAAGCAGAGTTAGGAGAGATTACTATTATTAACCTGTATTTTATGTTGACTTTCCCTGAATCAACAGAAAAGGATATCATCTGTTCCACCAACAGCTAACGCTAGAGTAGTGAGGCTGTGATAAGAAAGCAGTGCTTAATGCAAGGCTTCAGGATTTCAGAAAGCCAACACATCAGGCACAGTGATGTGAACAAAGGCTGACAAGCATCCACCCGTTTGCCTCCTTCACTTCACACTCCAAAAAGTCTTACAAAAAAAAAAAGTTAAATTTGAGAACTCAGAGGTCATTGCCAGAAAAGCTGTTTCCTATGAAAGGAACCAGGTAGGAGGAAGCATCAGACTGTCATATCTCCAAATACCTTGAAAATCAGGGAGAGGCATCTGAAAAACATTAACTGAAACATTCAATACTAATTTGATTCTTATATGAAATTAATCAGGTGCAGAATCTAAAGATTTACCAAGCAAACAATTCCAAAGAAAAACAACACTAATCTATAGATTAGTGTTTTATTTCTCTGTTAAGCAAATCAAAACCAAACATCAATTACTTGCTAAAGCGGTCTACCTTTTAGATAAAAGTAAAAGCTAAAAAGAAACTTAAAATTGGTGTTCTGATTAAGGCATTTTCATTGTCACAGTATTTGGACATCAAGCACGTGCACACACATAGCTTAGAAAAGTAGGTTTTCCCTTATATTTCAGAATATTTAGAATGAGAAGTAGTAAATTAAAAAACCTAGTTTCAACAGTTCACTTCCACAATTGACTTACGTTCGGACTTTGTGTCGGCCAATGATGAATGCTACTTTCCTGCTCCACGGATTCACAAAACTGGACCAGCTGGTATCCAGGATGACATAATCCCCATTTTGAGTGCAAAACCTAATGGGTAAGTACTCAAAAGGAGGCTGGCCAGCAAATTTCAGGACTGAACAAAAACAATCAAGAAACAAGGGTTAGTTTACATTACGGCACAGCAGTGACAGCACAAACACAAGTGACTGGGGTACGGTCTTGACATCTACTGCTCACTTTATTTCTGTCTAGACTGGAAACTAGTCACATAGCAAGCAAGAGAGTAATGAAGAATGTTAGGTCTAAATTCTTTTTATGACTACTGTACTCACTTTTACGGTGAATAGTAATCATTAAAGGACGATCTTCTGGATGCAAATACATCAGTATGGATGTTCCAATCAAATCCTGAGGTAAGTAACCCAACAAAGGCACTGCTCTGAAACACAAACACACTATCATTGCTTGCAATTCAGTCTTGAGTATTTACATTCTTTAACCTTTGCTTGCCAGCGAAGTCCCCACAGATGATCTACAATGACCTGAAGTACAGCTACAGAACGTTTTTCCAACCCATTTATTAATCCCCAAGTATGACATAAATATGCAAATATTTCTGTTCCCAGAGAGGTAAACTGGAAGTTCTGTTGAGCTTCCACACATGGTTGGGGACAAGGGGGAAAGAAAAATGGAAAACAAGAAAACATGGAGGTTCCAGACAAAACTATCAGTAAGAAATCTGATATAGATGCTGTGAAGTGCATTGTAAAAACATCCCTGAGGCTCTGCAGGAGATAACTTCAGCCTGATCAAGTTTATAATAGGCAGCTCACTAAACCTGCAACCTGCACTGTGATTCCTCAAACATTTGCACAATGTGGTTTTTCACTGTCTGTATTACCAAAGGTCCCCACTGCCCTAAGGGCAACTGACTGAAGTTATGTTTAATTTCACTTTTTTAGTCAAAGCTGATTATGTTCTTGAAGTTCCAGATGTTTTTCAATGAGCCCTAACAAATAATTACTGAAAATTAACACAAAATTTTGTTTTATTAACTATTGCCAATTGCACAGTTAAATACTACTGTTTACAGCTGCATTACCAGTGGATTTTTTGCCACCTCTCCACACACACCTCACAATCCTTAAGATCCAAATCTCACCTGTCATCTATTTCAAGAAAAACACATCCTGGAGTGTGAGTAGTGGTGAAGATTCTTTTATCCATAGGAATTCGAGGAGCTAATTGAGAAAGAAGTATTTACTGAAACACAAAATATGCATTGAAACAGGAAATCTAACTTCTTCACAGCCCACGATTGTGAGTTACAGACTTCTGAACTTTTTAACCGTTCACTTACTTCTGATCAGTAACTCAAAGAGACATTAGAAAAATTATAGGTGATACAAACTTCTCCCAACTGTAAATGTAGTGAGGTCAAAGGTCTCAGGACCTAGCAAAGAAGAAACGTACATTCTGGATAGGCATGTGTGCACACACACATACACACTGGAGTTACACCTGTGAGACTTGCCAAGTGCAAATGCCAATCAAAGTAAGCTGACATTCATACATTATGTTTCCCTATTGGCTTGTTTTTCACTGGATTATTCTGACTTGCCTTCATATCCAGAGTGAATTTTCTCAGCCAAAGCTAAGCAGCAGGACTCTGCATCCACATGGACAGAGGTGCAGACATGGACCAAGTATGGGGTGATTCGAAATGGGTACCAGTGCATTTCTTGTTCTTGATCTTTACCACCTCTGAGGAAAAGTAAAAGGAATTAACTCGTTGGTGTCAAGACCCAAGTACTTCACACCAATACTGAGAGCCTTACACAAATAAATCACGCAGAACCATGTGAGAACAAATCCCTCAAGGCTCTGTGCACAACACCCTGCAATCACAGGCCAACGCGTTCAGCAATACTGATCTTGCTTCCCCTAAAACTCGTACACACTTTGTCTCCAGCACATGCACTGAAAAGCTGTTCCCAAAAGCCCTTACTCTAATAGTTAACAAACCATCTTCTAATTCTCAGTCCAAATGTATTCATGAGAACCAACCATTTGTTCTTGTGCAAGTTAAATACATGTATTTTTTCTTCTATTTGTTCTTTATTCTTACTATTTTCAGGCAAAAACATGCACCTCAGTTTTAATTCCAGCAACCTAATTAAGCAGGATTTCTCCAACCTCAGCTGAGAAATTGTTGCTCTCTGACTGAAGAAAACAGAATGTGGATATAACAGAAAGAGTTTAACTAACACAAATAATTTTCATATTTAGTCCTTGTGTATGCTAATAAACAGATACTTTTACTTATGAAGCTCACAAAGTTGAATGTTTGCGTTAAATGAAGGAAGGAAAGATGCATGAAAACATGAAAAAAAGTTAAACGTTTCACAATAGTTACATACCTTACAAAATTCCCCAAATTGAAACTGAAATTTACCCTGCTAAACTTATTCCAAGCATTAAACTGAAAAGATTTGAAGGGTTATTTGAGACTCAAGTTTTTGAGAAGTGTGACCATATTGTGATCTGCTGACAGATGGAATAAGTATTTTATTTGCTCAGAAACAAACAGTTCTTAATTAAATCAAGAGACTACCTCGTTCTGGAGAAGAATTGCATCAAATATTACAGGCCAGCCTCTATTTTTTGGTTCTTCCAGCACTAAGATTAGCCTGGCACAAAGCAACAGATTCCACCCCACAGTGACAGAAAGTAGCATCGCCTGACTCACATCTCGTATTGGAACTGATGTGACTGAGTTTCCATTACTACCTCTGTCACAAACTCCCAAGCAATCTTAAACAAGACACCCTTAGCCTCCACCCCCAAACTGGAGAAGTGGGACTTCCTCCCACAAAATCATTCTTCTCCTACACAACAGTACTAAAGGAAGCTGATAGGCCTAGAAGAAACATAGATGAGCAGTTTCTTCCTCTACCCAAGTTTAATGATCACTATGAAAAAGATACTCAAAACATCGTGCTGGATGCTGATATTAAACACAGTGAGCCATTCTCGTAATGGAGTTTACACTGGTTGTTGTGACAACAAACCACCACCTGGGCCCCATACTATTCCCTGTGCCCAGCCTTCATGAATATAGAACTATAATGATATACTTGCCTGATCCTGCAGAAAAAGGATTTCACCTGGGCATAGTCATACAGAGAGGCTAATAAGAAGAACACACATTGAAGGTATCAGTTTATATCCTAAAACAGGTCGCACTTATCAGAACTTTCAAGCTCTTTATTCCCCAGGCTTTCTGAGCAAGAGCAAACTCCCACAGCCTTCTCTGTAACAGCTATTAATCAGGTTGGCCAACAGTTTGTTCTTATCTCAAATATTTCTCTTTCTTCTACAGCCCAGTCTGAGGAATGGCTGACCTGGAGCTAAATTCAGAAAAAACTTCAGACTTCTAAGAACTGATGCCAGAACAGTCTATCAGCTAAGCAGACAGAGCTTTGGCTACTCAAATCACTCACAACTAACGTGAGGCTCAAAAACGACCATTCAATCACATTCAGCACTGAACAAACAAAGCCCAATAAAACCTGGGTTCAATGAGCTACTCTTACAGCAGGTGGCAAGTGAATCTGTAACACTATAACGTGATAGAAAGTAGAGCAATAATAACAGAGTAGCAAAGTCTCCGGCTGCAGCAAATGGGGACAAGCCCAAATGCAACAGGCATAGACACAGAAACAAAGGGAAAAAACTGCTTACCTCTGAAAAGCCTCAAGTACACAGAGATCTCCAGAAACATCCTCTCACCTCCACTGCCAACCCTTAAATGAAGGCTGGGAAGGGAGGATCCTGGCTCTAGCCCTTCCATCACTCAATACATAGCATGCACCTGAGCTCCCCTGGGCTTTCCCTGCCTTCCCACCAGGTGCTCCATCACTGCTTCAGGCCATGACTTAGCATTTCTGCTACAGGACCATAATAACAGAGCACCTAATCAATTCTAAGCTGTAGATTAAGCCATTCTAAATGGATAATTAGACCTTCTGTTTCTCTTCTGGAAAAGCAGCAGCATTTGGAAAGAGTAAAATAACAGTTGCCTTTTACTTGTAGGCCCTTTATCTGCTTATGAGTGAAAGGCATCTGCATTTTACTTACTCCTGGTAGGTTAGGAGTAATTGCAAAGCTACTCAGCTTTTCTAAGCGGATGAAGTATGGCCTGAGTATACTGCTAGTGTAAGTATTTAGAGCAAACAAGCATTCTATCCTCATTCTGTGAAGACAGAAAGACAGATAAAGCATTGAAGAGGATCATGATGTCCTACCTGTTTGACTTTCTGTGTACCAAAGTGGCAAGTGAGACTGATCAGTGTGTGCGTAGAACACACCTGCATCCTGAGGGGCAAGAAGCTCTACAAACCGCGAGGATTCCAAGACTTTCTTCTTATGGTTTAGAATGGATGCTGCCTGCTCTGAGATATGCAATATGCGCCCAGAAAGCAGGGAAAACACAGCCACAAAGGTGTCCTGGAAAACAAACCTTATTAAAAGCAGTTCTCCTCCAACACATGGGAGCAGTATTGAAAGGATGAAAAAAAAAAAAAAAAGTCAAACTTCCCCCACCCTCCTCCCACAAGAACCACTACAGGATACACAAACGACCACACACCATAAAGGCAGAGGTACAGAAGTGAGTTCTAAAGCCAGCATCCAAACAAAATTGCATGTGAGCTACTACAGCCTGCCATAGTGTCATAGCTTACTCATTACTTACACATGCTAATAAGACTGCAATATCAAAACCGAAACAGATTCCACAGACGCTTGCCATTTTCCAGAATGACTGCTTATCTGCCCACAGATTTCCCCCCACATTTCACAGTATTTGCCACAGTTCCACGTACAAAAATCTGAGAACTTTCTGATAGAGTATGTGATAGTACTGAAACTCAGCACTCTTCTTTGAAATAGAGCCAGAGACCACAGCATGTACTGCAAATTAATTAATCAATTGAAAAATAATCCACAAACATAAGCAGAAACCAGAGACCTTCACAACTATGGATTTGACCAGCTATGAAAACATTCTGCTATACCATCTGAGGAGATTATTATGTTGCATGTGAATTCAAAAATTCTCACAGATCATGGTTGTGTCTGGGAAAAAAATGAAAACAGAAAACAGAAGTATTTCTTCACTTACAGCTGTTGGGTATGCCAAATCAGCACAGATAACCAGTGGCACTGATCTACCATTACTAACAAAAACCTGTTTGGCTTCTAAAGGCTTTCTGATTTTACACTTCTGTTTCCCTAAAAGATATCAAGGTGATAAAATAGAGACTGAAACAGAAAGTGATGAACTCCTCTCAATGCGTCTGAATTCCTTACGTTGTTTTTTGGAGTGTGTTCTGATGCAATTGTCACCAACTCTTCTATGCTGTATGTCACTACATCCGTCTGGAACACTCTTCGGTCACCAAGAGCCTGGAAAAACTCATTGTTTGCTAATTGAAGAAACAAGAAACGCAAAACAAACAGAAGGAAGTCAGTAAGAAGACAATTTTAAAAGTATTTCTTACAGCCCTCCTAATTTTGTCATCGTTTTGGTGAAGCCCAAGTTGAGATGAAGAATGTCTGGAGTAACAAAGGAAAAAAAAAAAAAAAGGAGTATTGATTACACCACTGGAGTGACCTATGTTGCAGAAGAGAAGCACAAGGAAGCAGAGAGGACAGCAAAAGAGTGACGAGCTACTTAGCTCTGCTGCAAAACACAGTTGAACTATCCAATACATTTTCCAAGCTACAGAAATGCTGTTTTCTCAACATGCACGACAAGTTATTAGCAGGCACCTATCTGTGCCTGGATGTGGAATGGGATCAAAGCAGTAAGTGGGCATTCTGACTTTGGAGCCAAAAAACCTACAGCAGTTCAAAAAGTTAATTGTTGACAGGACAGATGAAGTGTTTTCATTTGTTTTAATCTATCCGTTGTCAGACACACCCATTCAAATCAAGCTGCTGCATAGCTCATGTGCTTCCAGGCGTTTTCCATGCTTACCTCGCACCTGCTGTACACACCGTAAAGCATAATTGAGAGCACTGATGGTGCTGGGCTTGCTGGAACTCCTTTTCTCTTCAGGCAAACACTTCTTGATTTCTTGGATCATCACCATCAGATCTTTGTGAGACTGACTCCAATCCAGCTGATCACTGATCAAAACAGAGGTTGAACTCTGCTGGGGACTTCTGCTATAGGAGATTCCCCCCCCAGAAACTATTCCCATCTTACGGCCTGATCCACAGGACAGGAGGAAAAGCCCTAAACTCATCCGCTCTATTTCACGTCGCACCTTTCTGTTTTCTCTGCATTTTAACCTTTCTTTCCCCTCCCTCCGTGCCAACCCGGCACATTTTGGCTGGCAGAGGCACCGTAACCCAGCCGCGAGAGATACTGACCGACTGAAAGCTCCAGATGTACTGAACATCGCCGGCATCGATACCAGCAACGGACGCCCGCTCCCCCGCGCCTCAGAGTCCCGCAGCTCCCAGGGATCCCGGCACGCCCAACGCCGGCGCTCAGCGCCTCGCCTCCCGCTCGGGGCCGCCAGTAGCAGGGGCGAAAGCAGCGCCGCCGCTCACAGCCGCCCCTCGTCCCCCCGCGGCCCCGTTAACTCACCCGAGGCGTCGCGGCCGTGCGCTACACCGCACCGCAAACGCAGCACCGCGGGTCCCTGCGGCTCATCCCGTTCCTCGCTCCGCCGACCCGCCGACCCGCCCGGCCGCCCCCGCCAACCGCGATTCGGGCGACGCTCCCGGAGCCCCGCACGCACCGCGCGCCCTCCGCATCAGCGCGCGTTACCCGAAGCCTCCGCCCGGCGCGCGGCCGCCGCACTCCGTCCCGGCGCGCCGATCCCCGCCGGCGCCGCTTCCCGCGCTCAGCCCCGCGCCGCTGCCGTCCATCTCGGCTCGGGGACGCGGACGGCGCCCCCCGCCCGTTACGTAACGGCCCCGCACGCGGCCGCACCGCTCCCACACACGGCGGCAACGTGCGGCGCCGCCCGCCCCGCGCCCCCCCCCCACACAGCCGGGAGGCGGGAACGGGTGCGGAGCCGCTTTATTGGAGAGCGCGCGCGCGCGGCGGAGGCGGCGCCCCGCCCCTCACGCGCCGCCGCACGCGGCCCCCGTGCGCGCGCCAACCACAGCGCCACGTGCGGCGCCGCGCGGCCCGCCCCGAGAGCGGGGCAAAGCCGGTGACGGAGCCGGGAGCGGCCGCTGAGGGCGGCGAGGGCCGGGGCGGCTCGGCTGAGGCACTTCAACGGGGCGGGGGTGCGGCGGACCCCCGCGATGGCACCGCGGCGCGGCGCGGCGGGCGGGTGAGGAGAACTGAGGACGAACGCGGCCCCAGGATCCGATCCTCCTCACCGAGGCGCCGTACGGGCGGCTGTTAGTAACTGACAGGAGTGTCTTAAGGCAACCGGGTAAAGTTAACGTTTCAATCATCAGAAGAGTTTCGCTTTAAACAGCAGTAGATGGGCTGAGAGTACAGCGGGCTTGGAGCGGGAAGGCTGAGGAAAGGCACCTTCGGTGTGAGGGTTTCCTCCCGTAACTCATTTGGGCACGCTCAGGACTACAAAAAGAAAAACAGACACAGTCTCAGTCCTTTCCTTTCAGCCCTCTGCCGTAACAACCCCCTCTTTATGGTTCTGAATGCTGCAGTTGCTCTGTGTGCTCTCGCAGTGCACAGCTGTGTGAGCAACGCTGTGTGCAGCCTGGGGTGCTCACCTCCACAGCTGATGGAGACTCAGTTAATAAGGCTTTGCAGCCGGGGTTTATCACTCACTGAAGTCAACAGCAGTGAAAGCAGACACTTCTGCCTGAACGCAGTGTTGTCTGTAACTCCACATGGAGTGTCCCAGCTGCCTCTGAGTTTCACTGGCCGGTGAGTTAACCCCATCTACTCTAGCTCTTAGAAATCCCCGTTCTGCTGAAACTTACCAATAATGATGATGATGATAATGACAACAACAGCTATCAATATTGCCCACATCTGTGAAGAAAAAGCCACTTGTCACTCGATATAAACTGCACAGGAGTACAGGACGGCAGCCCTTGCAAAGCACTTTCACTTGTTGTGGTAGACCTAGCATGGCAATTAAAACCTTTTCCGTACGCAGTCTTGTCTCACTATTACACCTGGATGGTAGGCTTTGTAACACAGCAAACCAGAGTAGACCAAATTCTTTTCTACAGTGACTCCATGCAGGCAACCACACAGCAGGAATAAAGTACTTAAAAATTACACCTCCTCTTACTCCACACATTTTCTGTTGTCTTTGTTGCTCACCAATGAGGATTCCAACCTCTGCCAACAGCTACAACTATAAGGAAACTGAGTGAGCTAATTCTGCTTGCTTGCACGTTAATATGCATTTTTGGCCTTTTCCTTCTGTACCCCAAAGCCTCAGATTATTGCAGCATTTCCCTCTGGGCGTTACCCACTCACACAAGGCCTTGTATCAAGCAGCATGGTTGGTAACCCACCTTTCAGTTACTTCACTTGACCACTGCCGTGCTTTAAAACTAGATTCTATAAAAGTGAACGCTACCTGAAGTCCCTTTTACCTGTGCCTTTTGAGATGCTGACTATAATACTGTTAATTGTGATACTGAATACTGTAAATATATATGCCATGATTACCTTACAGTTCTTCCACCAATACTTTCTTTTCAGCTTGGCTGCACTGGTTTCAAACTGGGAAGCTCCTGCTTGCAGTGCATCAGCACGGTCATCCAACTCTGACAGCTTCTGATCTCTTTCCAGCACCTTGTCCACATTCACTCTCATGATGTCAACAACCTATATCAGTAAGTTATCAGTTTTATTAATCATTATAAAATTATTTTGCAGTGAACAGATGTTCTCATTTAAGGAGCAGGAACTCGTCTTTTAGGGTATCCAAACATAAGCCTGAAATTTGCCTGCATCTGGAATCCCTAGTGCCCGCTTCTCAGTGTCAGTACTGCCAGTTGTGCTGATATTCCCTGGGATGTAAATCCTGACTAGCACCAGAATGACTTGAGGCATTCAAGCACGAAAGTCAAGCATATGTCCAAAAACAATGTTAGCAGCCAGACTGGCTCTTGGCCTCCCCAGGAATCAGGACATGTCATATTTAGAGGTAAACGTTCTCTGCTAAAGAAGAGAAGCAAGCTTGTTCTCTGTAAAAGCAAAGCTTGTTGTCTTCCCAAAGCAGCAAGCTCTGAGTTCCCAGCTAGCATTTGGGCACTGGAAACTTCTCCATTTACTGCAGCTGGAATAGATTATTATTTTTCTGAACCTCTCCAAGACTTAAGGTGACATATACAACAAAGAAAGGTGAATTATATAAGGTTTCACCTTCATATCAAAGAATAGCTACTTTGGCCAGTGTATCTATTCAACATACCACATTTTGTTAAGGAAAAGGATTACACTTATCTAACTAGATTTTTACCTCATCTACTTGATGCTGAGTTTGCTGAAGTCGACGGTTACTGCCAGCAGGCACATTTGTGTTTCCAGGGACATTGGCTGACCTGCAGTAAAGAAAGCCATCGATATTCTTAGAGATTTTGCTTTCAGGTTGACATGCTTACAGCGCACAAGTGATCTGACCTTCCTGAAAACAGGAAACTTTGATTCCTGAAATAATCTTAGAGAAGTTTCATTTACTTTTGGAAAAGTGATGTTTTAGCAGCTGTCTATAGGTCTAAGTCAAAGTGCATCCTAAATCTCTTACCAATGAATTGACTGATGTACTAAAAGAGAGAAGTGATTAGCTAATACAACAGTCTATATTAAAGCATATGGCAACTCCTGCAGTGCTCAGAAGGAGCTCAGGTTCTCGAGCACAGGCTCAGTGGCATTCAGTTTTTTAGTAACAAACTATAAGCTTCAAGACCAATTACCAAAGGAACTTCCACGGTTGTTCTGTGTTCTTGCACAGAGCGGTTGTCTATCTCTATTCTTTTGAAACAGTTGATATTGAGCAAGAGAAAGCACAAGGAAAATGCATCTGGCATACAGAACAGTTAACCTCCAGGCAGCCAAATTCTCGTTACCCAGTACAACACTGTGATCGATGTAGGAGTCCCTGTACGCATTTCTTGTACTCTGTTCACAGCTTTAATGACTTTCTGTTGTGTAGCTCCAAAACTCCATTTGCTTTTCTGTGTTTTCCTTTTTTTCTGCATCAAAAGCATGTATTGTTCAGTGCAACCTGATAGCCAGAAAGTCGAACCTGAGTGTTGTTTATTTTACATCTTTGGGCGCTGAATTCAAATCTACATTTAAAGGAAGTGGACACACACAAGGACCCACGCCCAAGTACCCTACGATAACAAGACAAGGCTCAAGAGCAGTCCAGGTTTGACGTAATAACCACTCCTGTGTTTTGGTGCTCAGGTCACGCTTCCATGCTGTTTTACTGCTATAAAGATTTAGAGGCTGCTTTTTGAGGCTCCGAGCAGAACACACACAAGAAAAAAACGCCTCTCGTTGCTCTGTCTACATCCGCAGCTCTTTCAGGAAAGGCTCCGTAAGTTGGCAAGGCCGCTACACTGTCGCGGGAAGCCGGACAGGATGCCCCCCCGCCTCCAGCAGCAGCCAAAGGCTCTGGCAGCCGGCCCGCTCGGCGGCTCGAGGCGCGCAGCCCCAGCGCGGAGGCCGCGCTCGGCCTCTCACGGCTCGGAGCGCAGCCGCCCCGGGAAGCCTCCACCCACGGGCGGCGCCCGGCCGTCATCAGCAGCTCGAACCGGGCCGAGCCGCCCGCCGCTCCTGCTTCACCCGCCCGGCTGCGGCCGGTCTCCCCGCCGCCCCTCCGGGCCGTTCCCCGCACCGGGGCTCCCGAGGCGCAGCTCCGTACTCACATCCTGCCGCGGGGACGGAGCCGCTGCGCACCCAAAGCGTTCGGAAGGGACCCGACAGGAAGTGCGAGCTGCCCCGGAAGTGACGTCAGAGGGCGCCCCCCGGCGTGCCACGCCCACGGGGCGGGGCGATTCGCTGCGCTGCGCTGGCACGGAGCGGCGGGTCGTTTGTCGGGGCTGCGTTTCCCTTCCCGGAAAGCCTCGCGGTCGCGTACCGCAGTTGTATTACTGAAGATCGTTCGTGCAACTTATGCATCTGTCCAGTGCAATAAGTAGCTATTAATTCTCAATTACTAGTGTTATTGTGATAGTAGATCCTGCTGGTTTTCTGCAGTAGCAAACCTCGAGGTTCTACCAGGATTTGCCCCCTCCTCTGTGCGGTGCCGGAGGCAGCGCCCTGCTGCCGGCTGTGCCAATTCCAGCACCGTGTCCCACAAAGGGGATCGTTCTGCTCTGTAGGAACGAAAACCGACTCCTCACCCCGCTCAGTGCTCACCTATTGGGCAGCACTGCTTTAAGCTGTGACAGAAGACCTAAGCAGAACTCTGGCCCAGGGCTGGTCAGGTATTTACCTGCCTCCAGGTGCAGTGTCATCACCGGATGGAACTTTCAGAGTATTTTACATCTTAAAAAAACACATCATGTCATCTTGGCTTGGAAATTAATTTCCACTGAGCAAAGCTGCAGCTGGGCTGAACCTGTGTTTTTGGGGACAACTGGGTTTTTAACACTTTTGTGTTGTCATCTTGGCAAAACCTGCACTGGAAGCTTTGAGAGGATTGTTACCCAGCACCAGAGATCTAAAACAGTTCTTTTTGTTGTAAGAGCAGCCAACACACAACAAAAGCTTCTGTTGGCGGTGAGGCTGCAGGGCAGCAGGGCAGCTGGCATTGCACGCTTTCTCTTCAGCTGCGGGTGCTGAGTGGGGCTGCT